CATGCTGGACCCTTCCTGGGCCTGAAGCTAGCTAACTAGGGTCAAGCCCCACATGCTGGACCCTTCCTGGGTCTGAAGCTAGCTAACTAGGGTCAAGCCCCACATGCTGGATCCTTCCTGGGTCTGAAGCTAGCCATCTCCTTAACACGATCAGATCTGTAATTCTCCACTCTCCTCCCCAGCTACATGAGCCTTCAAGGATGGATTTATCCAAAGGATTCTGGGCCTTACTCCCACTCCTGCTCCACCCCTCTCCTGGGCTGTCATTTTCCTTCCCAGGCCTGGAGTCACGATATCATATCTTCCCTGTCCTGAGTCGACACTTCATCTTTCACAACCCAACCCAGGGCGTAGGGACCTCATCCGGGAAGGCTGGGCTGCTCCTCCGAACAAACCATACCCTCTTGCCACAACTTTCAGAGCACTTGTGTTTTTCCTTTCCATCTCGTCATCAGTTGATTGAGGGCCTGCATGACCGCTGTGCTGACATTCATTTCTCCTCTAGGTAGTAAACTCCTGGAGAGTAGTCCCTGGATCTGGACTCAGACTTGGCCCTCAGTCCCAGGATCTGGGTTTGCACTTGCCACTCATCACACAGTCCATGTTGCCAGTCGAATGTCTCCACAGTCAATAAACACGTGCTGACTCCGTGAAAGTTTCAGTAACCGTAAGAGTCCACCTGGATTGCCATCCCTAAGACTTAAAAGCCAGGATTCTGAAATCCACTCTATCCTCCAAGTCTGGTCACCTGAAAGCCCCAAGGAAACCCCAGATTACATCCCCCTCACTAACTTGGTTATCAGTCAGCTCCCCAAGGCACTGGGAGCTCCCAGGACCCGGGCATTCAGACAGCAGAAGAGAGGAAATCCTGGTGAGTCACTGGCAGTGATGACGAATTTAAGAGTTTCTTCCAAACCACCTGCCACTCTCACTGCAGTAGTAATCGGGTGGGAATACGTCTGGTAAACGAAAGCTTCCTCAAAGATCACGTCCCTTCCTCCTCTAGGTCTCTCTGCAGGAAGGAAGTGTACTTCTAGAATAAACATTTCCCAGGAGCCAGGCATGTTCTCAGTGCTCTATATATAACCCACTAAACACAACTACCTTATAATGAAGTAATTGTCATAGGGTTCAATCTCGCAGATGAGAAAAGATTAATCTGCACGAAAATCATAAAGCCCCAGAGACCTTGCTCTTTCTGCATGTGTGCCCACCAGTGCATTCATGCATACGTGAGCACCAACCAAGTGTGTTCCTCAGTCACCCTCCGCCTTTTCTCAGACAGGTTCTATCGCTGAATCTAGAGGCTCACACATCGGCTAGACTGTCTAGCCAGCAAGCCCTAAGGATCCACCTGCTTCAGTCCCCCCAGCACTGGGACTACAGGCCCATGGTGAAATTATAGACCTGTACTGGGGCACCCGGCCTCATTCCTTTTGACCTGGGTTCTGGAACCAGAACTCACATCCTCAAGGCTTTGCATGACTTTGTTAAGCACTGAGTCATTGTCTACAAGATCTTGCTCTCGACCACCATACTACACTGCCTATCCCATTTGAAAAGCAAATGTGGCCCCAAAGTGACACCAATGACATCGTGTGACTATTGCAACACAGTGCTTCTTCAGGAATCGAGGTGGGAGAGGAAGGCAGTGGTCAGCATCCTTGCTGGTTAACACAACAAAGACTGCTTTCTTGGGTTGAAACTCAAGATGTTTATGGAATGAACACTGACAGTCATGTTCGCCCTCGCCTCAATAACAATCACTCGTCCTCGGGGCGCTTCAGCTCTCTGTCCAGAGCTGCGGTTTTGCAGCAGGAAGCAAGCCCTCTGCATCAATATTATCAGGAACACGTCCCTCCGACTGGGACCCCACACCCGTACTTTAACCCATTCTCATGACCCCGCAGCGTCCCCAGCAAGAGGACTGTAATCTTGTAGATAACAAATGCTATCTCCTGCTCACAGACTGTCAGAATTTAATATGAATTAAATTAAGGGACGTCATCTCTAAATTAGCAATCTCTCTGGCTCCCTCCCCCAATTTGTCACAGTACCTGACCCACTGGTTCTCAGCAGCTATTGGGCTTAAACCATCCAAAGCCACCGCGTCCACGGTCGTACATGATCTGAAGAACCTCGCCTGCCTGACTGATCATTCTGCCTGGATTATTCCTAGATATTGGCCTGTCTGCGTCCTTCTCGATATTCTGTACTCCACGCCTGTATCACCTCCTTCTCCAAGCCTTGGCCTTCAAGGACTGACTTCCCCTCTGCACCCTTCCAGATCCGAAGCTCTAACTCACCCTGTTGGGCAAGCCTCACTCCTTCAATAGCTGCTTGTTAGACACAAAACTGCTACTGGATACACTTAAGGCTGCCAGCTCTCTCCACCCCACCTCAAAACACCAGGGAGAAACTCATTCCAAAGGAAAGCATTTGCAAGTGACAATGTAACACGTCACCTCAAAACAAAGGCGATAACCCGAGGCTGGACTAGCTAAGTGGTATCTACAGAGGACCCCCCTCAGAACCCGGTTCGGCTGGTGGTTCACACGCTTTTCAGGAACCGCAAGCAGAAGGGTCGGAGGAGGCTGCGGACGGCGGCGGGCGCTTGCCTACCTTGAACTCTGCGGAAAGTTGGGGCGTGTATTCGCGCGTCCAGAGCGCGCGCACCAGCGCCGCCAGCTGCTCGGTGACCTCGGCGCGGCCCGGCGCCGCCCGGTAGCGCCCCAGCGCTAGGAACTCGGCCAGCAGGTCGGTGTTGCTGAGACACTGCACCACGGCGTTCATGAAACAGGTGTTGCCGTGGTTCTTCAAGCCCTGCGCGCCGGGCGGACGCGTCCCGTCGCCCGCAGACAGTTGGGGCTGGAGTCCCAGAGGACGATCCGGTCCTGGGCTCCCGGGAGCGACTGGTGCCGGGCCCGGGGCACAAGCGAAGCCCCCGTCTCCATCGCCATCGTATGGGTCGGGCTGGCCCTGGGGCCGGGACCGGGGCGGCGAGTCCCCTGAGCGGGAGCGGCTGCCCAGAGCTAGCAGGAAGCGGCTGAGCAGGCGGCGCAGGGAACGGCGGCGGCGGGGCCGGGGCGCGGGCGGCCCCTCTCCCAGTGCGTCCCCCACGCCGGGATCCATGCTGGCCGAGCACGGTGGTCCGGGAGCACAGCTCCCGGGGCCGAAGCGGACCGGCAGCTCCCCGACACTCACCGCCTCTTAGAGGCGTGGGGCGCCGGCTACCTGAGAGCCAGGTGTGCGGGCACCGGGCGCGGGCGGAGCCAGGGGCGGGGCCGCCACGCCCCGCCCCGCGCGGGAATCCAGTCCTGGGGCAGTGCCCGCCGCAAGGCTCCCGCCCCAGCGGCCCGGGCTGGGAATGCAATCCCCGGGAGCCCGCCTAGTGGACTTCCCCGCCCTTCCTTCCCGCCTTGGAACAGGCCTTTCACCTCTATTCGCCTTCTCCGCCCATCCCTAAGCTGCGAGGATAACAAGGGCATGGAAAGCCAAGCCCTGGCTCTGGCTAAGTTTTCTGGTCGTAGAAGCCAGATGAAGACTACGAAAAAGGACCGGCGACCGGTGTCCTCGGTGACTCGAGTGTGCAGAGAGGCGTGCGCTGGCAGCTGTGCAGGTGGGGAGCCCAGGCTCAGGTGTGTACGGTCAGGTGGCGCCACTTCCTTGCAAGGCTTTGCCTGCACCGGTCACCCCAGGACCTGAACTGGGAGTACTAGTGGGTTAGGGGTTTGTTTTTTCTTTTTCTTACTGGGTTTTTATTGTTGTTGCGGCTGTTCGTTTTTTCACACTAGGTTACAGTCATTTTCCAAAAACTTGGGAGACTTGATCGTCCTGGTTTTCATTGGTGAAGGGAGCTCGGAGAGATTAAGGCAAAGAAGAGAGAGAAACCGGAACTCGACCCCCGCTGGTTGCACTGCCGAGTTCCAGCCCTTTACAACCCTAGAATTTGCTCGGCAGGAAGTTTTCCGGTTCTCAGGCGCGCCCCCTACTCGGTTGCAGTTTCACTCTTCTATGTAAAATCCTGGTGGTATCGTTATCCAATCAGAATTAGTTTGGCCTTGCCCCGCCCTTTATTCCCTGGGTAACCCTGGAGGCCTCTGCTCCTTTTATCCTATAACTGTCAGGTTTATAATTAATCAGGCAAGGTCTTGCAAAATGAATTTCTCATCAGTTTCTAGCTCAAAAAGAGATCCTCAGCTTTACTGAGGAGTCAGTATTACGTCAGTACCCAGAAATGTGACTTGCCATTTAATAAGTGGTCATCATTTATTAAATCTCCTCACTCTCTCACATAGGATTGTAGCAGTTCCCTGGTGCCAAAAAGATGCAGAAGTTAAGGATAAAGGATAAACTGTAGCGTCCGAGGCTTGAAGCGTAAGAGGCCACCATTTACCCTCCCGGAAAAAGATACTCACGTGGTTGATTAATTCATAAGGTTCACTTCATCACCCTCCTGATGGTAAGTACTGAAGATGCCGTGGTCTTGGCTGGCTCTGATGAGTCATCTCCCGAATTTCACCTTTGAGATCATTCCAAGATCTTCAGTAACACACAGGGATTTTTTTTTGGGGGGGGGGGGGGCGTTGGTTGGTGTTTGGTAACAGTTTAGGGGTTTTGTTGGTTTTGTTTTGGCTGGGGTAGGGGTGGTTGATGAGATGGATTCTATCTCACTTGTGCAGCCCAAGTTGGTCTGGAACGCTTAGTCTTTCAGCCTTAACCTCCTGAGTGCTGGAATCCTGGGTGTGTGCCTCCATGCCTGGCTGATATAACTTAAGGAAGCATTGGTGTTTAATTCTGTCCGGAATGCAGCTGGCGGCTGATGCATTACCACTTCAGCTCACTCAAGTCTCACAATAAACGTCTGAGTGGAAATTTATTCTTACTTGGCAAAGTAGAAAACTGAACCTGAAATTGTTTTGTGAGTTTGTTGTAAAGGCTAATTTTGATAGCCAGTTTGATCATTAAGAAATCACGTAGGAGAGCCTTTGGGATGGTACAGCAGGTAAAGGTGCTTGCTACCAAGCCTGAGGACCCGAGCTTGAGCTTTGTGAACTACCTGATGGAAAGAAAGAACTGACCACCCAGATTGTCCTCTGGCCTCTATATATATGCTGTAGCATGGGCGCACACACACACACACACACACACACAATAAATAAATAAGTAAATATAGTTTTTTAAAGATCACCTTGGAGATTGAAGGGTACCTCTGGGTGAGACTGTAAGGGTGGTTCTTGAGAGGATTAAGTTGGTAAAGACTCACTCTACATATGAGTGGTACTATCATATGGTAAAGACTCACTCTACATATGAGTGGTACTGTCATATGGACCAGGAACCTGGAGTGAATAAAGGGGGTGAGGAGCCAGCCCCCTGCACTGGCTTCCTCTCTCCTTCCCCGCCTGCCATGATGGGCACCTGTAAGCTTCACCATAAGGTTCTGCTCAAGGGCCTGGGACAAAGCCGGTGTGGATCAAACCCTGTGTGGATCAAACCCTGTGAAATACTGAGTCAGAATAAATCATTCCTCTTTATGTTGTTTCTGTGGGGTATGTGGACACAGCTGTATACCTGCCCAAAGATCTGGGTTCAAACCTAACTGTCTATGCCGATTCACCAATAAACTGATAATTTAAAAGGTAAGTTTGAGCTGGGGAGGTAGCCCAGCGGAACAGCACTTACCTAGCCATGCGTGAGGCCCTAGTCCCATCCCCATAACCACACACACATAGGTAAACTCACTTCTTCTTATTTTTATAAGAAAATAGCATTCCTCTCTGGGGACAGATCAGGAGAAATGCCTGTGGATTTGGGGAGACATAGAAAAAAGTTCGTGGCCAGAAGACAGCACCTTCAACTTTATTAATAAAAACTCAAAAAAATTATATTCTGGACAAAATTTTTTCTATAACATAGTTCAGTTTCAACATACAATTTAAGATTGTAAAATGTATTGTATAGAGGAAAGGAGAAACTTCAAGATAAAGTATTTTGACTACAGAACAAAAATAGATGTGAGGAATCAAGACTGGTGCTGGAGTTCTCCATACTTGGTCTCGGGCAGGCCTGTGCTCAGTACAGGGTGGAGGTTGGAGAGATCCCGCATGCTTCACGAAGCAAATGGGTACTTCCATCTCAAGATGGCTCCATCTGCACTCACGCTGACGATGTACCGGTTTCCTGGACTTATCCGGATGCCCATGATGTTGCCACTGTGTCCTACCCCAACGTGAGTCACTTCACCCTCATTATAATCCCAAACTTTGACCAGATGGTCATGTCCACCTGAAAAACGATTACATGACATGACTCACATAGAACAGTGAAACAGCCCTGACCTCATATAACTGCTTCATTTTCAACACATTCCCCCATGTGCCAACTTGAAGAAAGAAAAATCCATATTATATAAAGCTTTTTTTTTTGATCTAAAAAAAAAATCTATGTATGTTTTAGTAAATGTAGAGTGGAAAGGAAAATACCACCCAGAATTAACCACTAAACATACCCTCATTTTTTTCCCCTTTCGCTCTTCACCAGTGTAGAGGTGTATGCACACATCTGTGTATATGATTGGCATCCCACTGTGTATAGTTTGATATCTCTTTTTTTAAGTCAGTGTGTTTATGGAACTTTGATTTATTTTGAAGCACTTATTAATGTCCTGAAGAATCAAAAAGCCTGGCAGGAAATTGTGTCAATGCTGGTCTAGTGGCCGTGACCCGTGGTAGATGCCCCCAGAAAACGTTGACTAGTTCATTCATGGGAAGGAGTCGAGATGTCACATTCTTCAACAACAACAACAAAACTGGTGCTTCATAGTTAAGTAAAAAAGACAGCAGAGGAGCCGGGAAGGGTGGCCTACCTAGTATCCTAGCACTCAGGAGTCCGAGGCAGGAGGATCACAAATTCATGGCCAGCGGGAGCTACTTATAGCAAGACCCTATCTCAAAACAAAAACAACTGAAAGTACAGAGGAAAGCAACTAGAAGACATTGGAAGGCTCATTTCTACCCCAGAGAGCAGACCTTGTGATGGCGAGCTTGGCTTTTCTCTTTGTCCTGTACAAATGTCTTCCCTCACTGAAGTGTGACTTTGGGACTTTTCCAGCCATGGTGGTGGTGGGCTATTCTGGGCTGAGTGTTAACCAAGGTGTCCTTGAGACCCTCTACCAGCTCTTCTAATTGCCTCCCACCTAAGAGTTCCTTGTCCTCCAAAATCAGGACCCCTGGTGGTTTTTCTTATCTTACCTGGGACTGGGACTAACCTGTGACAAAGTGTCCCCCTTCCAGAGTGATGTCCATACCGTTGATTGACCCCGACAAGGAACCTTCCAACTCTCTGATTACGGACCCATCAAATACTTCCCAGTAAGCAATCTGGAATGCAGGAGAAAGGCATTAGACGGGAGTCCATGCAGTGGAATCATCCACACACATGCTAACAAAAGATCCCTCCACTTTATATAGAAGCTAGCAAAAATACACCATGGAAGGGGGACCAGTTGGAATTATAAATAGGCTGTGGCGAGGGGGTGGAGGAACCATTTTATTATTTTTAGTATTGGTTTTGAAATTTGCATGCTATTTAAAGAGATGTTGATATTCGATAAACCTGGATGGTGACAGAAAGAGATTTTTTGATAAGGCGAAGCAGATTGAGTCTGCTGCAACATGTAAAATAAAGACGAGAAGAGCCACTGGGGGAATCTGCTTCTGCGCTCTGAGGAGGAGAGCCAGGCTGCAAGCCTGGTGGGAGGGAGAGTTCTTTGTGGCAGGGTTTGGGGGACGGGGTGTTGCACTAAGTCTGACAGGACCCTAGTTCATCTTCACCTCATCTTTATCCACCACCAGACCCTAACTTGCCTTTCTGGCCCAAAGCAATATCATATTCCATAGGGTGGGATTTAAAGAAACTGAACACCTAACCTTGGTCCCTGCCTAGAAATGGGAAACCAAGTTGGGAGAGATGGATGCTAAGAAGGGGAGACGTTCCTCTGGACTGTCAATGTAGGGCCACAGTATCACCCATGGGGGTCAAAATGCAAACAAGCTCTAGCCCCTATCTAAAACGGCACACTGTTTACATGTAACCTATGCACATCCTGTATCTATACACTTTAATAAATTGTTCAGTAAAGATGCAATCCACCCCTCACCCCTACTCAAGCATTTGCAGGCATTCACAGTTGATTGAATCTGCAGACATGAAACTCTGGGCTGTGGAGGGCCATCTGTGCTTACCTTCCTGTCTGTGCCACTGGTGATGATCTGGAATTCCTCGGGGTGATAGCACACACACTGGAATAGGGTGTTGGACAGGATCATCTGATTCCTCCTAAGTCGCCTAAAAAGTAGATTCAAACACTCTGGATCTCGACTCCCCCCCCCCCCCCCCCCAGAAAACGTATTTATTATGCAGTGTACAGTTGGGCAAGCTTGGATGGGGTTGGTTTTTCTCAAACTTCTTATGCTGGTCATACAACAGTGCTTGGGGTTTTTGTTTTGTTTTGTTTTTGTCAAAACAGACATCTGGGGAACTGGAGAGGTGGTTCAGTTTTTAAGAGCATGTGCTGAGTTTGATTCCTAGAACTGGCATCAGGCCACTCACAACTGCCTATAAATCTAGCTCCAGGAAATTTGATGCCCTCTTTTGGCTTCACATGTACACACACATAATTTTTTTTAAAAATGTTTGGCTTCTTTTTTAATTTTAAAATAGACTCCTGGCTACTCTATGATAGGAATTCCAACCACGCCCCCATGGTCGTACATGCCCGGCGGGACACTTAAGTCATCGCTGCCTAGTCATTTCTGGTTCATACGTCCTGCGTGACCCATGCCCCATGGTCGCGTGGATGTGACCATGTGATGATCTATGTGCATGTGTGGAATAGCCACGTGGGCCTGTGTGCGCAGGTGTGTCCTGGCCTTTATAAGACAGGCCCCATGTTCCCCCACCCTCTTTTTCCGCACATGTCCTTCCACAGGCTTGATCACATCTATCCCTTTCTCTTTGTCTTGATAAAACTCTTGTTAGCGGATTCTGTCCTGTGTCGTGACTTTTCCTTGGGGGCAAGGGCACTGCTAAAAAACCACCACTCTGCTCTGTTCTTAAATCTCCTCCCACCACCTCTGTCAGCAAGGGTTAGAAGACATGGGCAAGTGGTGGTACCCCTTTCTAGAGACGGAGTGTGAAACTAGAGAAACTCTAAGTTCCAGCGAGAAAGAAGTAGAAGATGTTGAATTCAGAGCCAACCCTACCACCTCTCATAATAATCTTGATTCTCAAGGCCACCATTGGAGCCAAGTGGCACTCCCTGGAAACTGAGTGACAAAGTGTGGGGAAAGACTGTTTTAATGGACATTATTGTGCTCACCCCAAAGGTTCTGGAGTCAGAAGTTTGCAATGGAGGCCCAGAGATTTATCTGTGTTTGAAACCAGCCTTCCCACTGATAGTTATGTGCACACAAGTTTAGAACCCCTGCCTTAGGGCTGGAGAGATGGCTCAGGGGTTAAGAGCTGCTGACTCTTCTTCCAGAGGACCCGAGTTCAATTCCCAGCATGCACATGGCAGCTCACACCTGTCTGTAACTCCAGTTTCAGGGGACCCTGACACCCATGGCAAAACCACAAATGCACATAAAAATAAAATAAAATAAATACATTTAAAAAAAAAAGAACCCCTGCCTTAGACACCATAGACAAGCTTAGGATATTTCAGACTTTGGTGAATTCAGAAATATGCACAGACTTTGCAGCTAAACATCCCTAATCTGGAAAAATAGAAATCTAAAATGCTCTAAAATCTGAAACTTTTGTCAGTACTAACATGATGCAAAAAAAATTAAAAGTTTTGGGTTTTAGAGGATTTGGGGTCTTAAGATTAGGGATGCTAAGCCTGTACAAGAAGCACGACTGTATTGCCTCTTTCGGAGTTGGTATGCTGGTGGCTGTTTCACAGACCCAGCTCCTGGCTGAAAATGCACCTTCTGCAGTTTCTTCTCATAATGGAAGCTTTCAAACACAGTGTTCGAGCCGAGGATTTTTAAAGATTTTGGCACAAATTAAATATTCCTGCCACACAAAAGGAAGGTGCTAAAGATTTGAGGCAGTCACAAAACCAGCCACTGAAACAAACTCAGATACCCCTTCTCGATACCCATTTTCCCAATGGGAAGGTCGTGTGTCTGTGGGTTCAGGCCTTGGACCAGCAACACCACATGGGAACTGACTAGACATGCAGAAACACAGGCGCTATCTAAATCTATTCAGTGGAAGGCTATATACAGAATTAGGCACAGTGGTGCATGCCTTTAATGTCAGCACTTGGGAGGCAGAGGCCAGCCTGGTTTAAAACGTGGATTCCAGGACAGCCAGAGTTGCATAGCGAGACCCTGTGTAGCTGGAGAATTTTTCTCCAGCTCCCACCACCAAGTCCCGCCAGTCCCAGAGCCCACTCGATATAAATAAAGCAACCCTGTCTCAAAAAAGAAAAAGAAAGAAAGAAAGAAAGAAAAAGGGAAATCAAAATCTACACGCAAACAGGATCTCCCAGTGATTGGAGATCCAAGCTGAGAGTCAGGCCCATCCAGAAAACAGGGTTTGCTGTGCTTTGGGATTTTGTTTTGTTTAGCTTTGCGTGCATGCGTGTGTGTGTGTGTGTGTGTGTGTGTGTGTGTGTGTGTGTGTGCGTGCACGCGCGTGCAGGGGTGCATGCAGATGTGTGTGTGTGCATGTAGGGGCCAGAAGTTGACATTGGTGTCTTCCTCAGTCACTCTCCACCTTGTGCTTTTTTGAGGCAGGCTCTCTCACTGACCCTAGGGCTCATTGGCTCAGCTAGAGCAAGCCCTGGGGACCCTCTGTCTCTACCTCCCAAGTGCTGAGATTACGGGCGTGTACCACCATGCCTGGCTTTTACATGGGTTCTGGGGATTTGAAACCGGGTCCACCAGCTAGTCTGTATCCATAGCCCTGCTTTTAGCTTTTAGTATATTATTTTAAAGTGTTCTGCTTTGCCTTACGTCCTCACTCCCCTCTCTAGGCGGGAACATTTCAGCTGGGCATGGTGACACACACCTTTACCCACAGCCACTTGAGAGGCTGACACAAAAGGATCTCTTGAGCCCAAGAATTCAAGACCAGCCTGCACATCACAGTAGTACCCCATCTCAAAAAAGGAGAGGGCATAGTCTTTGACCCTCCTTTGTCCCTTTGTACTTATTTCAACCTCTTTAGACAATCTGCAAAGGTTATGAATCTCAGGAGTGATAAAAGTGTGGTGGGTTGAAGGAAGATTGGGTTGGGGACGTGGGAGGGGTGAAGGTTTGGTTCCAAAATAAAAACACAGCAAAAATTCCAACAGCCCCCCTCCAAAAAAAAAAATCATCTTTGAAAATCCTCTGAATGCTCCTGTGATGAAGTTCACAGGTTTTGGCCTACATAGTTTGGCATTGCCATCGTCTATGGGTCTGTGATTTACTCATAATGTAAGCAGTCTCTGGGAATGTGGCCAACTGAGGGGATGCCTTCTCCCTCCCAGGGCAGGCTCATGACCTAGAAGATAACACGGAGAACTGCCTACCATGTAACTTGCCTTGTTAATGTGCAATGTTTAGGTTGAATGGGTTCACATTAAGTCATGCTTCAATGCATGTATCTGGAAAACTACTTCCCTGTCTGCACAGAAACTTCTGGTATTTAGTTCTTCCTGGAGACCATATCTTCCCCACTGGTACCTAGAACCCTTGGACAGCCAGGGAGCCTAAGGCCTTCTAAGAACCTTTAACTAGTGATGGTTAATCTTGAAGGTTGATTGGATTTAGAATCACCTAGGAGATACACATTTGGGCATGTCTGTGAGAATGTTTCCAGAGAGGGTCAACTGAGTAGGAAGGACCACCCTAGATGCACTATTCAATGAGCTGGGATCCTGAACTATATAAAAAGGAGGGCGAGGAACTGGAGCTATGACTCAGTAGTTAAGAGCACTGGCTGCTCTTCCAGAGAACCAAGGGACCAGGGTTCAATTCCTAGCACCCACATGGTGGTTCACAACTGTCTGTAACTCCAACTGCAGGGGATCTGATGCCCACTTCTGGTCTCTACAGGCACCAGGCATGCATGTGGTACATAGACCTACATGCAGCCAAAACACCCGTACACATAAAATAAAAATACAGTCCTGTCCCGTTCCCTTCCCCCCCCCTCCCCCCCGGAAAAAAAAAATCTCTAAGAAAGAAGGCAAGCCAAATACCACATGCATTTCAGACTTTTAATTCCAGCCACCTCACACCCTGGTTGTCATGCCTCCCCACCATAAAGGACTGTATTCTCAAAACCATGAGCCAAAATAAACCCTTTACTTTACAACTCCTTGAGTAGCTTTTGTTAAATACTTTGTCACAACGATGGGTAAGGAAACTAACACAACCCCCTTTAGGATCTTTGCTGTGTTTGGCAGGACGCTGGCATGTTTGGGTCTTGTAAGTGCTGTGTGAGCCTCCCTGTCCATCCCAGGTACCTACACGAGGTCCCAAATGATGCATGTCCCATCGGTGCTGGCAGTGACACACTCCTCATTGTTCTTCTTCACCCTGATGCAGGACACGGAAGACTTGTGCTCCTTTAGGGCCTCCTCCAGCTTCTGGGTCTGGCAGCCTACCTGCCACACCCTTACCTGAGGGCCCCAAAGCACAGGCTAGCCACACAAACCTGGGACTTGGGAAGGGAGCAAGAAAGACACAGGAGTGTTTCCATCTCTGCTGGGTGTGACTGTTTCATCCCCTGCTCCCATCTCAGGCAGGCGGGGCAGGGACGTGTACAAGATGTGGCCATCATCCCACGAGTGTGGATGGTGCTGCTACCAATCTCAGACCTGCTTCTACTTCCAGACTGAGAAAATGATCAGGCTCCCACTATGAGAATCAATATTGCAAGGGCTTTCTGCTAAGCCCAGAGAAAGAACCTGTCTCCTCACTTCTGCTGAGCATTGCGCTCAAATTTCTCATGCTGTCAGGACAGTTCAGGCTACCCAAAGCCATATTTAAACTTTCACATCAGCTCTTCAGCTTTAATCATTGGAAACCAATGTTATTCAGCCTCAGAGACTCTAATAGCCACTGTCTTTTATATATTAAGAAAGAGTCTCACTGCTCCTTATAGCCTTCACTGCTCCTTGTCTTGGGGTGAACTCCTAGGTGTTGGTAGGTGTGGGCCACACTGCACTGGAACCCAATATCCATTTTCTATGGCAGATATTTTCCAATGCCTGTTTATTCTCCTGAAATGAAATTCATAAGTAATACAATTGCCTCCACACAGTTTTAAAATTTAGGAATATGTATATACATATACATATACATATACGCATATAGCAACAATTAGTGAAAAGAGAAGCCAGTAATTTGAAAAAGAACAAGAAGGCAGATCTGGGAGAGTTTTGAGGGAAGAAAGGGAAGGTTGGGGGGGGGAGAGAATGATGTAATTATATTAATCTTAAAAATGAAAAAAATTTAGAAAATCAGTACAGAGGCTGGGCATGGTGGGGCAGGCCTTTAATCCCGGAATTTAGGAGGCAGAGGCAGGCAGGTCTCTAAGTCTGAGGCCAGCCTGGTCTATAGAGAAGAGTTTCAGGACAGCCAGGGCTACACAGAGGAATCCTGTCTCAAAAAATGAGAAAAAAAAATGTATTTTAAAATTAAAAAAATTAAAAGTCTGTGGAAACTATATGAGGGGGATCTACAATGGCTGAATGGCGGCTGGGGGGGGGATTGAGGGAGGGGCTTGGAAAGTCTAGCAAGCAGACCAAACACAATGCAAGTGTAAAGTGTCATTTCTTCCTCCCAAAGTGAGCTCAGATGCCTAGAATTCACATGGTCTAGACAGGTTTGGGCATCAGCAAGACAAATGCTCCTGAAGTATGAGGGAGCGAGTGAGCATGTGGAGATGTTGACAAGAGTATGGTGGAAGTGATAAGGGACTGGACCAAAGCCGGTAAGTAGTAGGCTTCCAAAGGCTCAGAACAGGGGAGAGACATGGGCTAGGGGTAGATGTGGCCGGGCAAGTGGAGAGGGTCCTCATGGCACATGCATACACACATTTTAAGGAGAGGAATTTTTTTTTTCCCATGAGAATATTGCTATTTTCACTATATACTTCAGGACTCCAAAGTGCAGAGAGGTTACAGCATGCATCACATGCTGGAAGAGGCAGAGGGACATTTCAGCCCAGCCATTCACCTCAATTGCCTAGATTCTGCCAAGGGTTTCCCCCAAGAAGCTGGGTCTTTTCTCCACTCTGAAAAGCGCTTCCTATGATAGCTGAAAAGAAAAAGGAGGGTGCCCCTTCCCCACCCCATGTGGACAAAAGCAAGGCTTTGGAATTCAAGAAAACAAAAGCGGGCATAGCGGAAATAAGACCCCAAATAAAACCTGTGAGTGAAATGTTTTTAGGATCTTCAAAATGGCTCGAAGAAAACGTTGAATGTAGCAGCATTAAAATGATAGCCAAGGCTGGCATGGTGCCACACACCTTTAAACCCAGCATTTAGGAGGCAGAGCCAGGCGGATCTCTGTGAGTTCGAGGCTGTTCTGGTTTACATTGCAAGTTCCAGGCTACATAGTGAAATCTTGTCTAAAAGTTAAAATTAATAAAAATAATACAGCAAAAAAATTGCCTCTGTTAAAGAATTGATTCTTTATCGCCTGCTTTTAAGAAACAAGAAAGACAATTGACTCAGCTATGGTTCTTGGAGGAAAAGACTGAGTCAAACCAGAAACACATTAACTTGGATTCACAGCTTGGTTCCAAACAGGGTGTTTTCACATCTGTACCTTAAACACCCTTTCTGTAAACAGGTATGTTTATTCAAGGAACACTGGCAACAAGCCAAAGAAATAGTAAAGAAATGTCCTACTTGTTCCTTCTACAATCAAACACCATTACCAGCAGGATGTAACCCAAAGGGTACTCAGAGGAATGAAATCTGGCAGATGGACGTGTTTCACTTTGCAGAATTTGGAAAACTGAAATATGTACACCACACTATCGATACTTATTCAGGATTTCAATGGGCAACTGCTTTGAGTTCTGAAAAAGCTGATTCTGTAATCACTCATTTGCTAGAAGTTATGGCCATTATGGGTATACCTGCACAAATCAAAACTGATAATGCTCCATCATATGTCTCTGTTAAAATGAAACAGTTTTTTGCTTATTATAATATAAACCATGTTACAGGTATACCACATAATCCTACAGGTCAAGCAGTTATAGAAAGATCAAACAGAACTCTAAAGGATATGCTAAATAAACAAAAAGGAGTAACAAAAACCCCCAGAAATAGACTACATAATGCTCTATTAACTTTGAATTTTCTCAATGCCAATGAGAAAGGAACAACAGCTGCAGAGAGACACTGCCAGCTGCCACGATGAGAAACAGCATGTGAAGATGCCGGTAAGCCACGAGCCACGTGGCAAGGTATAGATTAATAGAAATGGGTTAATTTAAGCTGTAAGAACAGTTAGCAAGAAGCCTGCCACGGCCATACAGTTTGTAAGCAAAATAAGTCTCTGTGTTTACTTGGTTGGGTTTGAAAGGCTGTGGGACTGGCAGGTGATAGAGATTTGTCCTGACTGTGGGCCAGTCAGGAAAACTCTAGCAACACAGGTAGATTTAATGTCTGTTTAAAGCATTAGAACTTGACTTTATGATGTATTTTACGATCTCATCAAAATCTTGAATAGGCCCTTCCTGAATTCTAGTACAGATACATATTTTAAAAAGAGTGCCGTGTGGCAGTGGCACACGCCTTTAATCCCAGCTCTCGAGAGGCAGAGCCAGGAGGATCTCTCTGAGTTTGAGGCTAGCCTGGTCTACAGAGCAAGATTCAGAACAGGCACCAAAACTACATGGAGAAACCCTGTCTTGAAAAACAAACAAAAAAAAAAAAAAAGAAAAGAAAAAGAAATACAAGGGTTGACAAAATGGCTCAGCAGTTAAGAGCACTGACTGCTCTTCCAGGGAACCTGGGCTTGATTCCCATGGCTGGAACAGGAGTTAACAATTATCTGTGACTCCAGTCCCAGGGGATCCTATGCCTTTGTCTGGCCTCTGGGGGCACTGCACACACATGGCATACATGCATGCTAACACCCATACACATAAAAAATAAAATAAAATTTAAAACTAAAAAAATAAAATAAAAATGAAAAATGGATACCCTCCTATGAGTTAGTTGCTCTAAAGTAAAGACTTTTTTTAAACATCATTTTAGAACTGTACCTCCCCTTCTCCTCCACCACTGATGATCCGTTTACAGTCACTGGTGGTAGCAATGGCGGTCACTCCAATCCTGTGAGCATTGTTGATGGCGTATATCAGCCGGCCTGTCTCTGGAGCAAAGGCTCGGATTTTCCCATCATCCCATGCTGGCACAAGGAGACAGAAGGCACACGGTCAGTATATTCACCACCTTTCTCTCTGGAGATTGACAATCTCCAGAATCACCAATGAGAGTGAAAACTGGAAGAAATGGTAGGAGTGGAAGAAGAGGCTAGCCCCGGCAACTACCAATACCCTTGTGCCCTTCTCCCCCCACCTCCCAGACGGGTCACACCTGGAAAGGGGAGGAAGAAGCTTGTCCGGGATGCACCTGCCTATAGGTGGATCTCATGGCAGGTGAAGGAGGCCTGTTTTCACTTCACTGTGAGCTGTAGACCTCCACCCTCATCCATGTAATTGCTCATTATTATTATTATTGTTGTTATTATTATTATTTATTACTATTATTATTATTTAGGGGATTTTTTTGTTTTGTTTTTGTTTTTCCAGACAGGGTTTCTCTTTGTAGCCCTGGCTGTCCCAGAACTCACTCTATAGACCAAGCTGGCCTTGAACTCACAGAGATCCTCCTGCCTCTTCCTCCTGAGTGCTGGGATTAAAGGTGTGTGCCACCACCGCCCATCACCCAAGTAATTGTTACCACACCCAGGATGCATCAGTTCACAATTCTAAAACCCTCTTCCTTCTCATCCACCCATTTTTATTGTTGTTTAAGACAGGGTTTCACTCTGTAGCCTGGAATGTTCAAACTCTCAGTCCTCCTGCCTCAGCCTCTCAAGTCCACGCCCCGCTTTCCCCCACTTTTAAGTCTGATACCCCTTCCCTGGTTGTCACCATCTTGCCACCTCAAAAAAAGCCATCACCACCATCACATTCCTCAAGCCAAGAACCTCAGAGTCACCATTAAGTCTTGAGCCCTTTCTGTTCCAAGCAGACAACTCAACAGTCAATCCATCAGGAAGTCCCCTCAGCTCCACTGTTATAAGCATCCGGCTTCTGACCTCCTTCCCCACCCCCTGCCGGCACCAACCCCATTCAAGCTGCAGCAGCTCCTCTCTCCAGGAGCCTTCTCAATAGCTCCACCCCTGCACTCCTGCTTACAATTAGTCACCTATTAAGGGTTGGGATGCACTTTTTAAAACCAAGTCCCCTTCCCAATCAAGACTGCCCCAAAATTTTACCCCACTGTCCCAGAATTAAAATCCAGCTTTTAAATAAAGGATGTGTATATGCTTGTGGGAATGTGTACATGTCAGTTCAGGTGCCCAAGGAAGGCAGAAGAGAGCATTGGACCCCCCAGGACCTGAATTAATAAGTGGTTGTGAGCTGTCTGGTGTGGCTTCTGGAAACTGAACTCTGCAAGGCCAGTATGCACTCTTACCCACGGGTCTTCTCCCCAGGCCCCCCAAATCCAACTCTTCATTCTGCACACTACCTCGTATGTGGTGCCCACCTACCTTTGCCATCACTCTTCCTGAGGCCCCACCCCTCCTGTAACTAATAAGCTGCAGACACACTGACATTCCTGCTACTCCTTAAATACAAGCAGCCAGTTCCCACCTCGGGACCTCTGCACTGGCCATTCCCTCTACCTGGAATACATTTCTACAGGTCTGTGTCAGCTCTTGGACTGTCTCTTGAGCTTAGCAACTTTTAAATAGGATGCTCAAGGTAGATCCCATTTCAGCAAAGGCATGAGGAAGTAAGAGAGAATGAAGGGACAAGCCATGGAAGTGTTTGGAGGAAGAACATTCCAGGCCAACTAGCTACAACAGCATGAGTAAAACCTGTGCGCCCAGTGTGTTTGCAGAATCGGGGAGATGCAAGCACAGCAGGGAAGGTGAGCAGGTCAGGAAGAAGAAATGAGAAGTGAGGAGGGGAGTAGAGAAGGTCCTGCAGGGCCTTGCAGGTGACTGCTGGGTCTTTGTCGTTTGTGGAGGAAGAGACTTGAAAAGCCCAACAACTATCAAGACCTAATTTAATGTTTTAAAATAGACCTTTGGTTTCTGTGTGGAGAACAGACTAGTGGGCAAGAATGGAGGTAGACAGGAGCAGTAAGAGCTACTGGGGTGATCATGAAGAGCTGGCAGTGGCCAGGACCAGGGTGGGGATGGTGACCAGTGATGGACCTATGGCTGTCCTTTGAGATGGAGCCATTGGAGCACATGGATAAAGGTGTAAGAGAAACAGGGGAGGCAAGGATGACTCTAAGATTCCCTTGTCCAAGGACCTGTCAGTTCTGGGCACCATGTAAGTCACTCAGGGGAGAAGACAAGAGGGGAGGGGGCAAGGAGGAATCAGAGCCACGGAAAGAGGGGATGGGCTCCTAGGCCTCTGTTTTAATAGCTTCACTCAGATCCACTTGGCTTTCCCCTGGTGTAAACCAATACATTTATTTTTGACTGCTGGGGAAATTTGATATAGGTTACTCATAAGGTGATATTAAGAAACTATTGCTTCACAGGAAAGTATTTTTAGAGATATATACGGAAGTATTTAGAGGAGGAATAATGTGGTATCTATAATTTGGGAGGGGGTTAGTTTCTTGAGTCAGAGTATCCTGTAGCCCAGGCTAGCATCAATCTTGCTATATAGCCAAGAGTGTTCTTTCACTCCTAATCCCCCTGCCTCTGCCTCTCAAGTGCCAAAATACTAGGTGTTCACCACCATGGTCAACTCATGCTATCTATCATTTATGTTAAAACATCAGTTTGGCATAAATTGTGTTTATGCCAAAAAAAATTCTGTTTAGGGACTAGAGAGATGGCTCAGTAGTTAAGAGCACTAGCTGCTCTTCCAGAAGACCCGAGTTCATATTCCAGGTACCTATATGTCTGTACCTCCAGTTCCAGAGGATCTAGTGCCCTCTTCTGCCTCTGTGGACACCAGGCTGGCATGTGGTACACAGACATACATGCAGGCAAAACACCCATACACATATAGATAGATAGATAGATAGGTAGATAGATAGATAGATAGATAGATAGATAGATAGATAGATAGATATTAAAATTTTCCCTTTTACCAGCACTTAGGAGGTAGAGTCAGGAAGAACAGAAGCTCAAGGTCATCCTCAGCTACATAGCAAGTTCAAGACCAGTGTGTGTTACTTGAGCCCCCTTAGAACACACAAACAAAAACAAAACAAAACTATATGTATGCCCATAGAGTTGTATGCATGAATGTAAAATTAAAAAGAATTCTTTGGGCCGGCTGTCGTGGCACATTGCCTTTTAATCCCAGCACTTAGGAGGCAGAGGCAGATAGATCCCTGAGTTTGAGGCCAGCCTGGTCTACAGAGTGAGTTCCAGGACAGCCAGGGCTACACAGAGAAACCCTGCCTCGAAAAACAGAGCAAAACAAAACAAAATCTTTAAAGCATATCTTAGTTCGAGTTGGATTTTTCTCTCTTATACAAATGAGTTCTAATCCAAAATCCTATACATACTATGCCTCCAATCCAGTTCAGTGTCGAATATACTCCTTGCTAAAAAAAAGGCATCCCTGATATGTGAAATAGTTTGAGAGACATGGTTCCTCTCACCTCGGAAACCACTTGGTAGATGGAACACCAAGGAGAGGCTAGACCCTAAGGGAAGGAGCGTGGATGGCAGAAGGCTGTCCCTGGTGATCCACAGGCAGACATTCATGGAAAATGACAAGAATTGAAACTTCAGCCAGAACCTAGATCCAAACCTCCATTGGAAGCAGCTACCAAGTTTTCTGTTGTTCGGTTGCTGGTTTGAGGCAGGATCTCACTTAGCACAGGCTGGCCGCTAAAACTTAAGAATAGCCTTGAACTCCCGCCCCTCCTGCCTCCACTTTTCAGGTGCGTGCCACCGTGCATATCCCATCACCTGAGATGATGCTCCTGCCGTCTCTCATGAAGTCGATGCCATGGCAGGTCATGTTGGGCACGGTGATCCGAAGCAGCTCCCGGTTGGATACTGTGTGCCACACCCTGATGTCTTTCTTGGCACAGGTAGCAAACAGCTCAGCAGTACCACTGCAAAAGAGCCATTGAGGGATGAGCGAGCCATCAAAGATGCACAGTGTTCGGTGTGTCTCTGGTATCAAATGTGCCTCATAAGGAGTGGGGCAGGATGCCCTTTGGATACCGATTACTGAAGGTGTGACTTAGAGGTTTCTTGTGTGGAGAGACAGTCAATTCCTCACATCCTCTGTGGAAAATCTTTTATAATCTTTTCACTTTTGGAAGAGTTGGGACAAAGTTGTTTATAAAGAAAAAGTTGATTAGAAATCTTTCTAAATCTTGGTAAATTGAAGGAATAGTCACATTTCTTTATTTTAAACTACTTTTGGGTGATATGATTCACATACACACACACACGCGCGCGCGCGCGCGCGCGCGCGCACACACACAAGTATGTATATATGTATGTGAAGTATATGTCTGGATTAGTCTGGAGGCCTGTATACACCTAACCAAGTAGCATTTCTTGAGATAAATATGTCCATGGAATATTTTATGAAAAGAGGAAATTTCAATGAAGTTGAAAAATCTTATTACAATTACACAGAAGAAAATGGCAACATGGCAGAATTCACATGTGCACCCTTTTTTTGTTCAGTTCTGAAAAAATAAGAAATTATGAATAAAAAAAAAAAAAAGGATCCCTGAGTAAGTGGTCAGTCAGACTGGGGGAAAGGGCCACTTGACATGGGATGTAAATTACCAAGGTGTCAGGTGATTACAGATGACTCCAACTTTGATAGGAAAGGGGGTGGCATTAGGGTGAAAAAGCCACCTGGTTTATAAGTGTGAACTTCTCCTCAGTCTCTGGGAAGACCAGAGCTAACCTTTGGTCTAAACACTCCTCAAGCAATTTCTCCATTTCATCTTAAATGTGCTTCAAAAAAATGCTAGAGTCTCTTCAATTTTAAAGTTTACTCACTTTAGAATTAATAGGGGGAAAAAAAAACCCCAAGTAGCTCAGAGTTGAAATTAGGTGGCAAAAGAAACACCTACCTGAGAGTTGTCCTCTGACCTCTACATGCACACCATGGCACACATGCAACTGTATACACACACACACACACACACACACACTCAAATAAATAAAAACTGTGGAAAACAAACCCATATAAAAACCAAATAGATTGGCATTTACATAGAATTGGAAATATAGTTTTAAAGAATATCCTCATAGAGGCTGGAGAATTGGCTCAGTGGTTAAGAACACTGGATTCTCTTCCAGAGAACTTGAATTTGGTTCCCAGTACTCAGGTTGTGTAGCTTACAGCCTTCTGTTAACTCTAGGGCCAGCTGACCCTCTTCTGGCCTCTGTGGGTGCACCCGCACACACATACACCACACACCCCCCACACACACACACACCCACACACGAGAGAGAGAGAGAGAGAGAGAGAGAGAGAGAGAGAGAGAGAGAGAGAGAGAGAATAAAATCTTTAAGTATATCCTTAGAAAAAGCACTAAAACCAGAAATAGATTGATTCCACCAAACTCCTTCGAAAAGGGGAAAATTGAACCTGGTAAGAAAGTGACCCACTTTCCAATAAAGATCCACTTCAATGGGAAGCACCAGCTCCCCATCACCACTGCCAGACCTAAACCCGAAGGACTCAGGGAACCAAAGCAGCAGCTCATCAAATCGGGGACTGAGTTCTAAAACAAGCTTGCATCTGTAGGACAATAATGTTGGTGTCTGCAGTTCAGGCTAAACACAGGAAACTCAGAGCAAAAAACTGGCCAACTTCACGGGACAGACTTTGCTAAATATAACAACGTGCTTCAGAAGCAAGTAGTGCCACATGGCGACTCAAGTTCCTTTTTAACACCAGAACCACCGATGGAGAGTTGACTTCGGTGAGATTATCAGGAAAACCAGCCATTACAACCCAGGAGACCTCATGTCCATCACCTAAAAAATAAAAAAGCCCGCCAGATCAGGAAGACACCAACAAATGACTGGAATGAAGCATGAAAACAGGTGTTGCTGCAGGGGGTGGTGCCTGCCGGTGATCCCAGCAGGCAGGACAAAGGCCCGGGGGTCAGGACTCCAAGATTCCAGCCAGCCTTGGATATGTGAAACAACAAACAAAATCCAGTTTGAGAAAAGGAACTTCCAGGATTTTTTTTTTTTTTTTCCAGATGGCATTGGAAAATCACAGAGAAGGTCTCCTGGGAATGTGCCCTTTCCGGGATGGATTTACCGAGGAAGTCAGCATTTTACTTTTATTTATTATTTTCGTGTGCACGTGTGCTTGCACCACAGCAGACGGGTGGAGGCTGGAGGACAACTCGTGGGAGAGGTTCTGGTGCTCTATTGTGTGGGTCCAAGGATCGTTTAAACTCAGCTTATCAGGCTTGGCAGCAGGTGCCTTTACCCAATAGGCCATCTTATTTGCCCCAAATCCGGCATTTAAAACAAAACAAAGTGTCCAAACTAGAGGAAGGAGAACCAGGGTAACTGCACGTGGAGGCAATTAAAAGCAAAACATGATAAAACCAAAACCATCCATTAGAAGGCTGGAGAGATGGCCCCCAGTTAAGAGCACTGGCTGCTCTTCCAGAGGACCCAGGTTCGATTCCTGACAGCCACATGGTGATGGCTCATAGTCTGTAACTCCAGTTCCAGGGCATCTGATGTGCTCTTCTGGAGTCTGTGGGTATTGCATACATGTGGTACACATCCATACATGCAACCAAAAACACCCATACACTTAAAATACAAATAAATAAATCTTTCCAGGTCCAATAAAATAATCCAGTACACTAGAAAAGTTTCATCAGAAAAATAATTCTATTAACGAATCTTGAAAGTACTTGAATAAAGTGGAATTCCTACGCACACTGCATCAAATCTCTACATTCTAACATTCTTCTTCTACTTACAATGGAAAGACAATGTCCTGGACAGCTTCAAAGTGGCAGGTTGCAATGAGAGTCTCTTTGAAATCGGTGAAGTTAACCCGATAGATGTGTGATTCCTCTGTTCCTACAAAGAACTGGTGTCCCTCTCCCCGGAGTGTGATAGAAGTGATACCGCCTTGCAGCTGAATTTTCCTTTGGGGAGAAGCACAGACGCGAAACCAGAGTCACTCAGCCAGCAAGCACTGGCTTATCTGATTGCAGAGGACACACACTAGTCACGTAGGGTGGGGTGGGCCCTCAAGGAAGGGACACAGCTGGGAAGGCCGGAGCTACTCACAATGGAGCACGCCCAGGATCAGGAAGGAGGCGGGGCTGTCAGTGCACGGCTAAGACAGTCAGAGAAGGTCTGTCAGGGAGATGCGGTCTGAAAGGGCTGGTACAAGGCAGGCAGGCTCATGGGCACAAATGCCCCAGGCCACCCATTTCTGAAAGATAACCTGAACAACTAGGGGGAGACGTCAGATTCCTGGTACCGTGCCTCCTCAGGGTAGTGTACAACCAAGTTATGCACTTATCAAAAGGGTGGTTGTGTCGCTGGGTCACAGTGAATGACTGTGGTTTGGTTTAACGTGACCATTTTCACAGGAAAGAAATCACTAGCCCTTGTGGTTCCAGCTACACGTTTAATAGCAAGATGAAATTCTTGAACCGGACGTGCTTTTCTTTTAAACAGGACCTCACTGGGTAGCCTTGAGTGGCTTGGAACTATGTGTAGGAATAGTTTGTCCTGGAACTCATAGAGACCCTCCAGCCTCTGCCTCCTGAGGGATGGGATTAAGGATGTGAGGCACAAAGCTTGGCAAATATGGTTCTTCCAGTACCATTTAGTTGTTGGATTTAAGTGAACGAACATCTCTCTAGGGCAGTGGTTCTCAGCCTTCTTAATGCTGCAACCCTTTAATACAGTTCCTCGTGTTGTGGTGACCCCCAACCATAAAACTATCTTGTTGCAACTTCATAATTATAATTTTGCTACTGTTAGGAATCGCAATGTAAATATCTGATATGGCCTGGTCTTAGGCAACACCCAGGCTGAGAACTGCTGCTCTAGTGGGCTCTATCTACCCCAACACTATGGGTCCGGAACTCACTTGATGGGTTTGTAGCTGGGGCTTTTGCAGAAGACCAGCACACCAGCTCCAGAGCCGACCAACAAACCACCCATCTTCAGGCACCTGACAGCTGACACTCCCTAGGGGGAGAAACAATGCTGTGAAAAGACCAAAGGGTTTTGTCATTAACAATCAATGCATCACCTGCCACAAGGGAGCATGGTGGAGGCCACACCAAAGCTGTACATATTGTTCGGTTGAAGATCATGATGAGCCTCCAGGTTGGCCAAGACCATTCAATTCTAACCACAAGTTCATGTCTTAGGAGGTAGCCTTCCTGGTCCTGCAAGAAGTAGTCAAGCTTTGCCATCCTTCCTCTCAAAGATGACCCGTGCATTTGCATATACTGAATAGTAATGCTCATATATCCATCCACTCAAGTTCAGTTACAGCAGGAGGCAGAAGCATGGCCTCAGTAAGTTAATTCTTCGGTTACCATGGTTTCCACCAGAACTTAACTCATATAAATGCAGGGTCCAAGTTGACATCCAAAGACAGCACAGGAGATTTCTTAGTGACTATATTTTCTGAGCTAAGGCATATGGTATACAATCTTCCCAACAGTTGAAAATACATTTAAGATTCCAGACAATCTTCAAATATATAGAGGAATGATGGACAATTCATAGTATGCTCCATAAGGTTCTAATTTAAAATGTGCATAATTGCCATGGTTTGAGTGTACCTCCCCCCCCCCCCCCCCCCCCCCCCCCCCCCCCCCGCAAACAAGTGTTTATGATGGAACCTACATCCCAATGCAACAATATTGGGAAGTCCAAACTTGAGATTAGGTCAGGAACCAGTTGTGGTGGTGCACACCTTTAATCCCAGCAATTGGGAGCCAGAGGCAGGTGGATCTCTGTGAGTTCCAGGCCATCCATAGGAAACCTTATCTCAAAAAAAAAAAAGTCACAAAGCCTCTGTTCCCATGGACGGGGATGGTACAAGAGAGTGGTCCAGCACAGAGATGCTCACCTATCTGTGCTCCTAGATACTTGGAAGCTCGGAGAGGAAGAGCACTTGATGCCCAGAATTTTTCACTATAGGCTATCTTCATATTCAGCCTTCCCTTGTGCGATGACGTAGCCCACTGTCCTTCACTAGATGCAAATGCTGGGCTCCTAGAAGCCCCAGCCTCCGGGATCATGAACCGAATGAACTTTCATTGTTTATAAATCACCTAGTTTCTAGCATTTTGTTATAGCTATGCAAAGCCAACTAAGACCATGGCTAATATTTTATTTTTAAACATTCAACATCTACAGTTTATGACTCAATCGCTTATGTCTTAATGAATTTTGAGGGCTGGGTTTATAGCCCAGTGATTGGAGTGCTTGCCTAGCAAGCACAAAGCCCTGTGTTTGATTCCTAGCATCACAAGAGAAAAAAACAGAGGTTTGAATATTGAAAAATAAATACATCCTTTCAAGTTTCTCGAAGCTGGATTTTGCCTGTTGTGACTTGAAAAGCATTCCACAGTGTCTGAGAAGAAAAGCAAAGGCTTGAGAATGAGAAGGAAGAGTGGCAACTATGTGCTTTAATAGACATGTCTTTGCCAAATATATTCCCACTCTGTGACTTGGCCTCTCAGCTGCTTGGTTGTGCCTTTTGTAGAGCTTAGACTCTATGATATTGGGGCCCCACTTATAAACTCTGTGATGGATGTGATAGTTGTCAACTTGACTACATCTGGAATCAACTAAGACCAACAGCTGTGGGTGCCCATAAAGGATTTTCTTGATTGGGTCATTTGAGATGAGAAGACCAACTCTGAATCTGGGCCACCGCATCTGGTAGCAGCCCACATAAAAGGACAGAAGGACGCTTTCGCTTTCTGCCTGCTTGCCCTTCCTCTTGCTGGCAAGTTCATCTATTCTGTTCCTGAGGCATTCCTTTGCTTTACTTCTTCGGGATTCTGATGCAGAATGAAGACTTTCAGCTCTCTGGGACTTCCCTGGGCCTCCAGCAGCGTATTGGTACTGCTGAGACAACCAGAGTCATCATCTGAACAACTACCAGATCCTCAGCCTCTCTATCTAGAGACAATCATGATTGGAGTACTCAGACCATAGCCTGGAAGTCACACAAATAAATCCTCTTTATATATTTATATTCATTCTATCATCAGTTCTGTTGCTTTAGAGAACTCTGACTAATACAGCATCTTTCCTGGATTGTGTCTTCATGTTGTATTTACAATGTCATTACCAACCCCTAGGTCGTGCTATCTTTTTCCCTGAATTGTCTCTTTTGTAAGTTTTATGTTTTATGTTTACCTCTGTGGTCCATTTTGAGCTCATCTGGAAAGGGTTAAGTTCAGTGTCTGGATCGTTGTGACATCGATCCTGGTTTAGGGTGCACGTTTGGGATGTATGGGTGTCCACGTGTACCAGCATCATTTGTGCAAGAACTGTCTTTTCTCTGTCAGATTGCCTTTGTTCCTCCGTCAGATAATGTTAAGAATATTCACGCAGGTCTATTTCTGAGCTACTTCTCTGCTTTTTATTGAAACCACACTGTCTTTATTACTGTAGAATTATGGTAAGCTTTGGAACCGGGCCTTCTAGCCCCTCCACCTTAGCTCTTCGATGGTATGCTAGCTGCTCTGGATCTTTTGCTGCTTTCCATCACTGCCAGAATCAGTTTCTCAGCCTCTGTAATTAACTCTGGGTTTAGGTCACGATTCCATTAAATTTGTAAATCCAGTCAGAAGAACTAGCTTCCAGTGTGTGTGTGTGTGTGTGTGTGTGTGTGTGTGTGTGTGTGTGTGTGTGTGTGTGGTTTTGTTTTGTTGTTGTTTGCTTTGGGTTTTTTTTTATTTATGTTTCATCTTGTTTTTGAGAAAAGCTCTCATGTAGCTCAGGCTGATCTTGAACTCACAATATAGCCAAGGATAACTGTGAACTACTGATCCCTCTGCCACCACCTCCCAGGTGCTGGAAGTCCAGGCATGAGCCCACCAGTGCGTTTTAACATATAAACAATAGTGAGTTTGCCTATCCATAAACACGAAATCTTTCTCTACTATTTCTTCTGTGATTATTTTCATTTGTTTTGTGGTTTTCTCGTTGAGACCTTGTCAAACACCCTGTTGTAATTATTACTGCTACCATCGTTGTCATCCGGGCAACTTCTTCCACTGTAGTACTGTGTATCTATCTAATAGGCCACGATAATGTATCTAATGTATTTATCTAATAAACCATGATAATCCTTTGCCTCGCTCTTCAGAGAACATTTGAGTAGAGGTTCGAAATGAGTAACTGCCCAAGGCCATTTGATTTTCAAGCAAGGCATCTTCAGTAACCCCTCTAATTTTTTTTTTTTTTTTTTTTTTTTTGGTTTTTCGAGACAGGGTTTCTCTGTGTAGCTTTGCGCCTTTCCTGGAACTCGCTTTGGAGACCAGGCTGGCCTCGAACTCACAGAGATCCGCCTGGCTCTGCCTCCCGAGTGCTGGGATTAAAGGCATGCGCCACCACCGCCCGGCTGACCCCTCTAATTTTTTTCATCCCTCAAGCAATCTTTTCTTTCCAGCCACAGGAAAGCTGAGCTGGTAGGACTGCTTTGTGGGATTAACCATCAGTCCTGGAAGAATCAGCAATGCAAAAATTGGTAGGAGGCTTAAATGCCAGCGGTTTGAAGGGCACTACCACACCAACATCTGTTCCCAAGCACTGTTCAGGCATAAAACCAAAACAAACCGACAACAACCAAAAAAACAAACAAAAAAACAAAAACAAAAACAAAAACAAAAAAACCCAGACAAACAAACAAACAAACAAACAAACAAACAAAACCCAGCCAAGCAAACAGAAACTATCAGTAGTTTTCAAGTAGTGTCTTCAGATGGCCTTTGGAGGCCTTGCAGGCCTTGGAACTTACAGGGCTCAAGATAGGTCTCCTTTTCCTCTGATTGGCCTTGTTTTATCTGCTTAGTATTAGAATCTGTCTCTCCTAAATAATTCTAAAAAACACCAATCTAGGCCACACTTTGATCTCTCCTATAGAGTTATTTCTAAATATCCATCGATGTGTATTGTCTGTATCATGGCTTCTTCCCTTTTTTTTTTTTTTTGTGGATTTCTTTAATCCACAAAAGTTTGAATGTTAAATGATGACATGGTTAAGGAAACTGACATTTTCCCAAGAGGACTGCATAGTATTTCACTTCTTGAGAATGTCTGTTAAGTGGGAAAGTAGCTGTGCTTCCATGGGAACCATCTGCCCTGATATCAGAAACGAGACAGGCAGGTGCGGGAATTAGCATACAAACTTTCCAGCGCTTGGAACTTCCTGGGCACATGAGAGATAGCTGTCCTTACTGTAGAAAGTCGTCATTCAGTGGTGGGTCTTTTATTTTTGTTTACATGTTAGTTAGCATTGCCTACTGGAGTTTTGATACGAATTGTTAAGAATCCTGCAACTATGCACTGTTGATGATTTCTTGGTCTCATGAAAGACTTATAGCATCACTGAGGCTAAAATCTAAGATCTAGTTATTAGAGCTGAACACACACACACACACACACACACACACACACACATCATAAAGCACCCCTCTCTCCCTCTCTCACAGATGGCAACTGGACTAGAACCAATGTAGTTTCAGCTCATAAAGAAACAGATCTTGTGCTTTGAAGAGGGGGAAATGGGCAAGGCACTGATTGATACCCTACAGTGACACCTAGGAATGTCCTTGCCCTGAAGTTAAAAACCAGAGAGTAGGGCTTGGAGTACACACCAGTGCGGTTTGCCAACTTGGGTGTGGCTTCGCAACCATTGATAATTTGCCTTTTCTGTCCCCAACAGACTTCTTAACGAAAGGCTTTGCTATCAGTGGCGGGAAGAAAAATGAAGACAAGAAGGATCATGTCATACCTCGATGGGTTCTACTCACCAAGCTGAGCTTGTCCTTCGCAGGCCCAGTGTCTACCAGCAGTTTGGTCCTGGGGTTCATTTTGAGAATGTCCCCAGTTGTAGTGCCGAGGTAGAAAAAGCTGTCATCACCAGCCATCTGGGAGGTCAGAAACAGAAACCTGAAGACCTGAGACTCCCCAAGGGTCTGTGAAGCCCCGTTAGGGAGGAGATGAAAGTCCGTAGTGACTGACAAAGAAGCGCACGGTAACATCTGTTTCCCAAGACTCAAGGATAGGTCAGCCCAGCTGTGAGAGGAGCAGAGTCAGGGCCTCCCGCAGCAGCAGGAGGAAATGTTGGACTATGAATTGTCTTGACACTCATTTGGGTCTGATGCTAACACGCATGACCAGGGCCAATGGCTGAGTCACCTCCAAAGGGCTCTTAGGATAAAGATGTGCCTCTCCTATGAGGACACACATTCGCTTTATCTCACCGTTTCCAGAGGCTACGTTCATAGAAAGGACTCTGCATTAAAAAGAATAAGTCAACGGAGCACAGGGTTCTACGGATGGATTATGGCTCTACATTCAAACGTATTAATAATATCTCTTTGTGAGAAAGTCTGCATTTCAACAATGAATATTCCTATCAGAGACTTTATTTCCAATGGAAGAGGTAACGATAGCTGCAGAGGGAGGTGTTGCATGCTCTCAGTATCACCTGGCCCCCGCACTGCTTCCCGCCAGGTCTGGCTGTGGATGTCCGAGGACTGCTCAGGTCCCAGTATTATAGTGGGACCTCTTAACGCTGCCCAGCTCCTCCCAGCTGCGGTGCTCCCTCTGAGTATACCTCCTCACCAACATTCTACAAGTCTGTCCTTCCTCCCTAGCCTGGCCCAGTGCGCACACACTCCAGCTCAGGACTGATGGCAGGCGCCTGCACTCATTGTTTCTTAACGTAGCCATGGTTGAGGCGACACTTACTCCAGTCGTCATGACTATTCTTTTCTGTTGTCCCGTTTGACACTCAGTTGGCCAGATTTTTCTATTGGGGAGATCCAGTTCCCACACTCGAATTGTCCCACTACAAAGAAAAGTCACAATCAAATGGATACCCTTTTAAACACTGCTTCACATCTTTTAGGTCCTGCCGCCACGCCCCCGTCCCCCCCTTCCAGCTTGAAGTAGAAGCTGAAAGGAAGAGAGATACACATCTTTGAGGATTTTTATTCTTATAGCCCACTGTGCAACTTGAGAACTTTCCCCTCCATCTCATGGCAACCCTCAGAGGTAGGTTTTGTGATCCGCAAATGAGGTGATGCGGACAGAGCTCGTATACAGCAGAACAGGACTCATACCAGCTCTCTCAGACACTGAGGTGCATACTCTTCCGACTGTACTGAAAATAAGCGTGTATACAATAAAGCATACAAGCCAGGCATGATGACACAGGCCTTTCCTCTCAACAAGTAGAAGACAGAGGCAGGCAGATCTCTGGGAGTTTAAGGTCAGCCTGGTCTATGTAGTAAGTTCCAGGACAGCCAGGGCTACATAGTGTAACCTGACTGAAAGATAAATTAATTAATTAAATAATCATGCAAATAAATGTAGAAAAAGAAACAGGGTTCTTCATTTTCATTCTTTCCCTCTTATTGACAAGTACTATTATATACACTTATGATATAGAACATGATGTTTTAACACATGTATACATTATGAAATGGTTAAAATAAACTACTAAGCATATGTATTGCTTCACTTATCTTTTTGGAGTAAGAACGCTTGAAATCCACTTCCAGCAACTTTCAGTGTTATTTGATATATACTGTGTGCATATGTTGTTATGACCCGTAGTCATCATAGCATATACAAACTGAATGTCCATCTGTAGATGAATGGATGAAGGAAGTGTGTATGCATATATACAAAGGAAAACTGTCCAGCCTTAAGGAAAGTGGACATCTGGAGAACATCACTCTGGCTGGAATAAGCCAGTCGCACAAAGACAGATATTGCCTGATCTCACTCACATGGAATCTAAATGGAATGTACTGGAGGCTGGGGTGGGGGAGGGAGAGTGGAAGATGTTTGTTTGGAACACCAAATCTCAGTCAGGAAAAATAAGTCAAGGTGTTCAGTTGTGTTGAAACATTTAAAAGGTATCTTTTTTCCTTTAGAGGCAAGATCTCATGTAGCCCAGGCTGGCCTCAAAACTCACTATGTAACTAAGGCTGGCCTTAAAATTCCTGCCTCTGCTTCCCAAATGCTGGGGTTACAGATAAGCTCCTTGCTTAATGGAGGACAGTTGAGTTTGGGGGTTCCTGTCTCCAAGGAAAGAGAAATGAGACTAAGTGAATGAGAGTTTAAGTTGGTAATTAGTGTGACATGTAATATGTGGCAAGCACTTTACCTCTATATGCTGAGTTCATTTGAATCGATAATTCTGTAATAATAATTACAATACCAAAATGAATATAATCAAAAGACATTGTGTGAAATTCTCAAAGAATTAGTAAAAGTATTATTAAAAAAGAAAATATTGCAAAGAGATCTGCCAACATCTCAATCAGAAAGTATTAATTAGAATATGCCAATTTTTTTTCTACAGAACTGTACACATAGTAAGATTTAAATGTATTTTTAAGTGAAGCGAAGAGAGAGAGAGAGAGAGAGAGAGAGAGAGAGAGAGAGAGAGAGAGAGAGAGAGAGAGAGAGCCCGTGGCCTTACTGGTAGATAGAGTGTAGATGCTGAAACACTGGGATGCCCAGACTGTCTCAAGGACACCGTATAGTGGAATACACGAAACCATGACTGTGATTGAGAAATCAGGGTGTCCTGGTGTCACAACAGAAATTTTAAAAATGTGGATCACTCCAAGTGATACTTAAGAACAGGCATCACATGAAATTGAAGCCAGCTTGGAATACAAATGGTGCAAAAAAGATTGTTTCCCATAAAACTTAAGGTTTGACTTTTGGAGAAACACTGGAAACACTGCCCACAGACATTAGAACGGACCGAAGCCTTCAGCCGCTTAGGAACCAAAGAACTCAGACCCTGCAAAACAAAGAGGCAAGCTGATCTACAGACCACAAGGGGGCTGAAGACATTGAGACAACTTGGGCTGTTTGGGCAGAAAGAGCAGGGCAGGGTTGGAACGTGGTTTGCCTGGCTGGGGAGGGCTTTCATGGATGCCAAAGAATTTACCTCCTCTCAGTGAGTTCATCCTCACTCAGCCATGGAATAGATGCAGCGTGTGTGTCCCAAGGCGGGGACAGGAGACACGATAGAGACTGAGCAGCACAGATTTACTCTGGCCGGGAGAGGAACGAACAGTATGTACCTTTGATGGATGGGAGACGACAGAGGAATTGCAAAGAGAGTTTCACGCAACTTGTCCTTCTGCCTTACAGTTTCCAATTTCTTCCCGTTAAGCTAGTGGGTGATGTGGGAAAGGACATGTTTATGTCTTTCCCCTTCCCCTCAGGACATCAAGCGGGGCTCTGATGGACAATCTGTAAATTAATTTATGCTGTGGGAGAGATGCAGGTTCTGTTCACATGTCCAGCTCCCTCACCTAAGCTGGCTGAAGCTGACTCTGAGTTATGTCCTGTGGCTAATAGCTTAAACATTTGAAATATAACGACATGGTTCTTTTGCAAAATATCACTTCATTAGGCCTAAATCAAGAACAGGTGGCAAAAAATGCCAACCCAGGAAGTGAATCCATGCGATTGTGCAAGTTACTTGGCAAGCATGGATTAGTCCTCATGTCTTTTCAACGACAAAAAGAATCCTAAGAAGGGTTCAGGGCCAGTGAGGTGGCTACGTGAATAAAGGAGCTTGTGGCCAAGCCTGAGTTCAATCCTCAAGACCTATATGATGGAAGGGAAGAGCTGATTCCCACGAGTTGTTCTTTGACCTCCATATACTTGCTGAGGCACATCCATGGACACACACATACACACAAGATGTAAATAAATGTAATAAAAAAAATTTTTTAAAGAAGCTTTTAACCATTCCGTGGAATCTTTCCAGTAGAACCCAACAGCATTTTCAAAGAAACCTACTGAAAATACATCCGGCTGAAAGGGTTTTTTCAGTGCTTACAAAAATTACAATGTAAAGTATTTGTCCAGGGCTCAAGACACATCCTTTCCCCATCTCCACCCCCAGAACTGGCACACGCATGTTTTCTGGGCAGGTGGCATGGTAATCTGAGTCTGACATTCTCACCGCACAGACTTACTTCCCAGCCGTGACAAACATCTCATCCTGGCACCGAGAGAAGATCACATTGGTGGCGTTGCCGACATTGAGGCCCGCCGCGGGGCTGCCGCAAATGGCATCTCTCTTGGCTACGCTCCACACCACCACACTGCCAAACAAGAAGCGGGAAGACACCAACAGGGCAAATCAGATTTTCCTAGTGACCAACTGTCCTAACGGTTCTAGAAAGAAAAAGAACAAAACGAACCGGTCCTGGTGAGGGGACACTTGGCCTCTCCCTCCCCACCCCCAAGCATCTCCTCAATGCTTACACTGCTCCCTGGGAGGCTAACGTGATGCTTTAAAAGCTTTGAAGGGACATTATTCTGGGACTGGAAGCCAGTGAACCGACCCATCAATCAAGGCATTTCAGATGCACAAGCATCTCAGTGGATCAAGTATCCATCTCATGTGAACATCTTCCTTGGGGCTGGCGACATGGTTCAGGAGTTAAAAGCACTTGCTGCTCTTCCAAAGGACAGCAGTTTGGTTCCCAGCACCCACATCAGGTGTCTTACAACCTCCTGTCATTCACTCTGTAGGATCTGAGATGGCCTCTTCTTACCTCTGCTGGCTCTTAAACAAACAAACAAACAAAAAACCTTTTCTCCCCCCCCCCCCAGGCTGTGAGATGGTTCAGGGAGGATGGTGCTTGCTCACAAGCCTCCCAGGCTGACCTGAATTTAATGTGTGGGACCCACATGGAGAAAGGAGAATATGGACAAGTTGTTCTCTGATGTCCACATGTGCGCTGTGGCACACAGAAAGATCAGACAGACATAGCTCTCGTTTTTAAAATCTTTAAAAATCTTGAAAAGCCCACAATATTGATTTATTAGGTCTTCATAGAGGTGCTCTGGGAAGCCTCTCTCCTGTACACTACCCCACCTCCAGTGTGGACATCAGGTCCAACAAAGGCTTCTCGTGCCTTGAGGAAGTGTTCTAGCATATACAAAGAAGAAAATGCAAAGGCGACTGTAATTGAGGTGATATAAGGTGGTGTTTCCAAACTCAAAGACGCAAGGGAACCAGAATCAACCAGACAGTCAGCGATCTGATTTCATCCGTACACCATTTGCATATAGTGAATTATTTCACAACTAATCTTATTTATTTATTTATTCATTCATCCATTTATTTATTTATTTATTTATTTATTTATTTATTTATTTATTTATTTATTTATTTATTTGAGACAGGATACAGGATTTCCCTATGTATGTAGCCTTGGCTGGCCTGGAACTCACAAAGATTCACCTGCCTCCACTCCCAAGTGCTAGGATTAAAGGTGTATGGCAGTATGCTTGCAATTTCTAATTTTTGTTTTTTTGTTTTGTTTTTTCCGAGATAGGGTTTCTCTGTGAAGCAGTCCTGGCTGTCCTGGAACTCACAGAAATCTGCTTACCTCTAGCTTCCCAAGTGCTGGGATTAAAGGTGTGATCCATCACCACCCAGCTGCAATTTCTAAATTTTTTAAAATATTTATTACAAAAAAAGCCATTTAACCCAGGTCAGCTGGACCTCATTCCTGGGGTATCTGACTCAGACGGCCTGAGGGAGAAGGGCTGGGATTTGCTTTCCTCACAGGTTCCCATAATGCCGAGGCTACTGGTCTGGGGATCACATTTTGAGAAGTATGACTTCTTTGTGAAGTGACATTTCCATCTTCCTGGATATAATCATACAACTCAGTCCTAAGCTGAAGAGTATTTGTAAGAGAATACCAAGAATGCTGAGTAAAGGAAGGGGAATCGTGTCAAGTATTTGAATCGAAATATTTAAAGCAAATGTTACCGGCCTTTGTCAGTGCGAAAGCAGGCCTGCATGCATGTTTTGATTTTCTGCATATGGAATGTGTTGTTCTTATACATGACTTGAAATCCAGGTATAACAGATCACCAGCAACAAGGAAGAGGAAGTGATGTAAAAGCTATAGGCTCTTTTTCCTAGTGGGCACTGATGGGTGTTGTGTAATGTGGAAAAGGCGAAGGGTAATCCCTTTACAAGTTAAATTAGATGACAAACCAGAGAACAGAGATACTAAAATTAGGTGCCTCCTTCTGTAATTCCAGATGTTGAGAGCTGGACACAGGAGGCCTAGAAGATCATGGTCATCCCCATCGGCTACATACCAAATTGGAAGCCAGCCTGAGCTACATGGATCCTGTTTTAAGCAAGACAAACCCAAATGCTTCATACTTTAAAGAAATGCATTTCCACACAAAAGCATATATGTATGTATGTTCACAGCACTATGAATTATTAATAATTATTATATAATCAATAATGCCTTAAAAGTGGCCATGTGAGCCGGAAGTGAAGTGCTAGAACATGTTCTTAGCATGTTTCAGGCCCTGGGTTCAACCCTCAGCATACACACACACACACACACACACACACACACACACACACACACACAAAATAATTCAAAAGTCCATCAATTGTTGCATGGATAACGAAAGTGTGCTTTATCCATACAGTATAATTTGAACATTATTTATACTGATAGCATGTCACAAATGGACAAGCCTTGGAAACACTGAGCTTAGGGAAAGAATTTGGTCAAAAAAACTGAGGCTGGTACAATTCCATTTATGTGGAATTGCCAGAGCAGACACCTCTCCCAGGACAGAAGGGAGCATGGTGATTGCCTGGGGCTGGAGAGAGGAAGGATGTGGAATGACTGCTAACGGCCTGTGGGCTTCCTTTCTGGGGTGCTGGAAATAAATTGCCTGTAGTGAGGGTTTCAAATTCTGTAAATACACTAAAAACCAACCAACTGTATACCTTGTCTGAATGTATTTTATATTACATGAAATATGTCTCAGAGCTGGAGAGCTGGCTCAGCAGTTAAGAACACTGGCTGCTCTTCCAAAGGACCAGGGTTCAATTCCTAGTACCCGTATGGCAGGTCACAACTCGCTATAACCCCATTTCCAGGAGATCTGATGCACTCTTCTGGCCTCTGCCATGCACAGACATATGTTCGGCAAAACATCCACAGAGATATAAACAAACAAACAAATAAAAAGTAAATAATTTTTTAAAAAGAGAAACACATTTGAGTAAATCAATAAAAAATAGCAGGGAGGGAAAAGAGAGGCTGTGAGGAGATGAACTTGAACAATGTACGATGAGATACGTATATGGAACTGTCATAATGAAACCCATTATTTCAAGCATTAACTAAAAAATTAATAAATAATATTAATTAAAGCCTTCAGCCAATAGAACCCTTTTTTTTTTTTTTTTTTTGGTTTTTCGAGACAGGGTTTCTCTGTGTAGCTTTGCGCCTTTCCTGGAACTCACTTGGTAGCCCAGGCTAGCCTCGAACTCACAGAGATCCGCCCGGCTCTGCCTCCCGAGTGCTGGGATTAAAGGCGTGCGCCACCACCGCCCGGCTAATAGAACCCTTTATAGTGAGAGGAATGAGAGGGAAGGCATAGGGAACTCACATTTTTGAATTATAGATCGTTGTCCAACAGCAGTTTCTTTATAAATCCCAGTCAAATGTAGCTTTAATTTGTTTAGAAATAAGTTTAAATGTTTAAATAAATGGAACGCATCTGCAATGGGTAGTGAGTTGGCCAATCTGAATTTGTGGTACATGGGTACGGTATAATTCCATAGCCATTGCAAAGAACAGATATACATAGATATTCTGAGTGAAAACTCATGGGGGTTTGAATGACATGGCCCCCACAGGCTCCTATCTTCGAATATTGGGTCCTCAGTGGGTGGAACTGTTTTGGAAGGATTGGGAGGTGTGGTCTTGTTGGAGGAGGTGTGTCATTGGGGGTAGGATTTGAGGTTTCAGAAGACTCAAACCGTTCCCAGTGTTCCTCTTGACCTTGTGGTTTTTGTCTCAAGAAATGAGCTCTGCAGCAGTGCCACGCCCATCTGCCTGATGCCATGCTCCCCGCCATGATGGTCATGACTCTAACCCTCGGAAACTGTAAGCACCAAATTAAACACTTTCTTTTATAAGTTGCCTTGGTCGTGGTGTTTTATCACTGCAGTAGAAAAGTAACTAAGACTGAGCTACATTACAACAAAAATAATATGATAATATTGATAAAAAATTAATAGATTCGTTGCAAAATATAAAATGTGTATGTAGAAAATTGTGTATGGATTATGTAACAGAGAATGTTCATCACTGTTAACTGGAGTTTTTGTCTTCCCTCTACCACTGAGTTGGGAGGATTGGGTGGAAAGACCCAGATACTTGACAGCTGTGGAAATATACCTGGTAGATTCTATACAAATCATATATTATTCTCTACCGCCTATGTTCTTTAACATGTAAACAGGAGTATGTATTTCATTGATCGTCCTTCCCAATTTAATGCTATCTTTTTTTTTTTCTACATAGTTCAGGCCTGCCTGAGAATCATGTTTTTTGATGCACCTATATTTCTTCCAGTTTCTCTTTATTTATGTTCTCTGTCAGACATCACGAGTCCATCCAAGGGCAAAGATCATGACTTGTGGGGCAAGACAAAAGTATCACGTCTAGAGTCACCAGTCTGTGTCCCAGCACTGCCCCTTAACCACTAGTGACTTCACTTGCTCAATTGTCATTGGGCACCAATGGCTTCCATTCTAAAGAATAGGTCTGAGGCTCAAATGAGCTATTGCAGTTAAAGTTCCCAGCACACACTTGTCACACAGAACGCACTCAAAGCACATTTGTCTTTGATAATGACTGTTATCATGGCTGTGGTCATGATGTCTTTGACAGCATTGGTCTTTGAATGTAGGTGCACACAGTATCATCCAGGAAGGTTTTATGACTCCTAGAGCCCAGACTAATCAAGTCAGTCTCTCTGTAGCTGGGCCCTGGCAGCAGGGAGCTGGCCAGGTGATGTTCACTTGGCAGCAGAGCTGAGGACCACTCTTCTAAGTGACTTTTTCTCATGGCCTTTCATATATAGCCACACCCTCAGATATGGATAGACCAACAGAGGACCTGGGAAGGGCTAATATACTTGATATCTGTAGCACCTGGTAGAAAGCATGTAAGTAGCTGGGCAGTGGTGGTGCACGTCTTTAATCCCAGCGTTTGGGGCAGAAGCAGGCAGATCTCTGTGAATTCCAGGCCAGCCTGGTCTACAGAGTGAGTTCTAGGACAGCCAAGGATACACAGAGAAAAACTATCTAAAACTAAGCAAAACACTCCTCCACCTCAAAAAAAAAATCAATAAAAGGAAGAAAGAAAGCATGTAAGTAGGTCTTATTCATTACCTTCCATCATCTGGGCCTCCAAGTGAAACCAGGTACAAATCATTGGGCGAAAAGCTCAGGGCTTCGATTTTACCCTTGTGCAGTGACAGCCGAGCAATCAGCTCTCTCTTCTTATAGTCCCACAGAATGATGTCTGCCTGAGAGGCAAGAATACACTGTCAGATCCTAGACAGGCTTTAGGAGAACCTCTCATGGTGAGACACACTCAATAATGCCACTCCCCTGTGTCAGATCATGCGGTAGAAACATGACAGACAGCAAGCATCAAGGCAGAAGCAGATTTAAGCTAAGGGTTTGCCGTCACAAGGCGTGGCGTCTGGTGCAAAGACACCAGGGTCTTTTAGGAGCAGCTTGATGGGCTGAAAACAAGAGAACACAAGGGATGACAGAAGGGTGAGCACACGGAGCTAGGAAGCCCAAGTCCCGCAGCTCTTCTAGAGAGACACCTCTAAGTAAGCGTCCAGTGAATTCTCTCCATCTCATTCACCTTGAACCCCATGAAAGTGACTTGTCCAGAGGCGATATAATCTCCTTTCTTGGAGATGGCCAGACAGGAGACATTGTTACCATGGCCATGTAGGAATTTCTGCTCGTTACTATTTATTGCCTGGATGAGGATAGTGCAGCCCAGGGGATAGATCAGGTGCTCCTGGTCAGGGTGGCATTTGAGACCACTGGGAACGTGTCCTAGAAGAGATTAAAAATAACTATAACCAGGTGAAGATGTGGCTGGTGGTTTTGTTTTGCTTTTATCACAGGACAAAAGACAATACTTTTGAAATAAACCTTAATCCAACTGAAGCAAATATGGAGTAATAGGTACTTTTTTTTTTTTTTTTGTAATAGGTACTTTTATTCCATGGACAAGGAAACTGGTGTAGCCCGACTCTCCTCAGACTTTGATGTGCATAGAACTCCCCAGGGGGCCAGTTAAAATGATTCCAGTTTCAGGTTTGGAGTGAGCGAGGATGCTTCATTTCCAGCCAGCATACAAGGGATGCTGATATTGTCTGGAAACCTCGCCTTGGAGAGCAATGCCCTGTGGCAGGTTCTCTAATCCTGAGAACCATGGGTGTATAGGGCACAGGCAGCTTGTTAGAGGATGGCCTATAGACGAAGGGAGAATGTGAGTACTTAAAGCAAACATTTGAAGACCAAAGTTTTGTTTATTTCACTTATTATAATGTCCTCCAGGCTTATTCATCACTACGCAAATGGCATGACGCCCCTCTTTTAAAAGGCTGAATAGCATTATAGTATGTCTATGTGCATCTCACATTTTCTTTATCCATCCATCTGTTGATGGATGTTTGGGCCATTCCTATATCTTGGCTACTGTACACAAGGATGCAATGAACATGGAGGTTTAGACATTACTTCAAAATGCAGATTTCATTTCTTTTGGGGTATTTACCCTATGCTGGATAGTTTTATGTCAACTTGGCACAAGCTATAGTCACCTGAGAGGAGGGAACCTCAACTGAAAAAATTCCTCCACAATATCAAGCTGTAGGCAAGCCTATAGAAGATTTTCTTAATTAGTGATTGATGGGGGAGGGCCCAGCTCATTGTGGGTGGTGCCATCTCTAGGCTGGTGGTCCTGGGTTCTGGAAGAAAGCAGACTGAGCAAGCCACGAGGGGCAAGAAAGCAGCACCCCTCCATGGCTTCTGCATCAGCTCCTGCCTCCAGGTTTGTGCCATGCTTGAGTTCCTGTTCTTTCTGACTTCCTTTGATGACGAACAGTGATGTGGAAGTGTAAGCAGAATAAACCCTTTCCTCCCCAAGTTGCTTTTTGATCATGCTGTTTCATCACAGCAATGATAACCCTAATAAAAACATACCCAGAAGTGGTATTGCTAGACCACATGGTAGCACTGTTTCTCTCTCTCTCTCTCTCTCTCTCTCCCTTTTTTTTTTTTGGTTTTTCGAGACAGGGTTTCTCTGTGTAGCTTTGCGCCTCTCCTGGAACTCACTTGGTAGCCCAGACTGGCCTCGAACTCACAGAGATCCGCCTGGCTCTGCCTCCCGAGTGCTGGGATTAAAGGCGTGCGCCACCACCGCCTGGCCTCCCTTTCTTTTTTTAAGACAGAGTCTTACTATGTAGTTCCTGGGTGGCTTGGAACTTGATATGTAGATCAGGCTGGCCTTAAACTCCCTGGGAGCCAGCCACTTGCCTCTGCCTCCCCACAGCTGGGATTAAAGGTATGTGCCCCACGCCTGGATCCTTTTTTCATGAAGTTCTGATGAAAGTAAAGTTAGTGTCTTTCATCTATTCCTACTAAAATCATAAAATTCAGCTCCTAATTTCAAGCTCTTTATAAACATTCATATGGCTACCCATACGGTAAAGGTAAAATAAGATCGCTATTTCACACTACACATGAATAACACCTCCCATTCCAGGTGGATCAAAGATCTAAATGTGAAAAATAGGACCTAATGTTTACACAGATGTAAGAAATGTACAAAAGACAGCAAAGGTTGATTATTTATCCAGTTGTGTTTAATTCTGATATTTCTAGCTACAAAAGGCAAATGAAAAGCCCAAACCAGAAGAGATTTATAATATACAGGGATTATAAGAGGTTCTCAGTTAATATACAAAGAGCTTCTACAAAGCGATAAGAAAAACATACATTTCCCAACAACAGCAACAAAGATGATGAAAGAATATGAATGGGAAGTTCCTAACAAAGGACCTTGAAAATCAATAAGCATGTAAAAGCTAACCTCTTATTTTGAGGTTAGGGTTAAGTTGGGGTTAGGGTTGGGGTTGAGGCTAGGGTTGAGGTTGGTGTTAATGCTATGGTTGGGGTGGGAGTTAGTGTTTGAGTAGGTGTTGCTTTGGGGTTTGGATTGGTTTTGGGGTTAGGGATAGTATTGGGGTTGAGGCTGAGGTCTGGTGTGTGGTGATTTGAATTAGAATGAGCTCCATAAGTTCATACATTTGAATGTTTGTTTTCCAGTTGGTGGAACTGTTTAGGAAAGGCTAGGAGGTGTGGTCTTGTTGGAGGGGGTGTGGCTTTGTTGAAGAGGGTATGTTAATGGGTGTGGGCTTCAAGGTTTTAAAATCCCACACCAGACACAGTCTTTTTCTCTCTGTGTCTACTGCTTGTGGATAAGATATAAACCCTCCAGGTGGTGGTCACACACACCTTTAATCCCAGCACTCGGGAGGCAGAGGCAGGCGGATCTCTGTGAGTTCGAGGCCAGCCTGGTCTACAGAGTGAGTTCCAGGAAAGGCTCAAAGCTACACGGAGAAACCCTGTCTCAAAGAACAAACAAACAAAAAAAAGAAAGAAAGAAAAGATATAAACCCTCAGCTACTGCGCCAATGCCATGCCAGCCTGGCTCCTGCCGTTCTCCCTCCCAGGATGGTCATGGACTCACCTTTTGAAACTGTATGCAAGCCCCCAATTCAATGCTTTCTTGTATAAGTTGCCTTGGTCATGATGTCTCTTCATATCAATAGAATGGTAACTAAGACAGAAGTTAGTGCCAGGGAGTGTCATATTGCTGTGACAGGCCTGTTCATGCTGCTTGTTAGGGCAATGTGGACTTTGTGACTTCGTATTAGGTCAGAGGATGAATGCTGTAAGCAGGGCTTAACGGGCCATCCTCTGGAGCATGGAAGACAGTAGTGCTGAGTGTAATGTGGACTATGGCAGCCCAGCTCAAGAGGTTTCAAAGGTGAGTAATCTTAGCGAGTGAGCTAGAGACTATTTGTTGTGACATTTTGGCAAAGAATGTTGCTGTTTATTACCCTTGTCCTAAGACTCTTCCAGAGGCTAAATTGAAGAGTCTGGACTAATGTCTAGGAGATTTTAAGACAACTTAGTATTGACTATGTCATGTGGTTATTAGTGGTCACTCTTACACAGATCTATAATGAAAAAGAGAAAGTGGGACAAAAAGAGATAAAAAATGTACATGAGAGGAGAAAAAGAGCACGAGGAAAAGTAATGTTGGAGTCAAGTCCTGTGCTCAAGGAGATGAGAAGTTTAAAGACAGACCTGATGCTAAATGGGATAAAGGGAGTGGTACCTTCAGGCTAATATCCTACTCAGCTAATCCGCGACTCACAAAAAGGAAAGCTTGTATACCACAAAGGAAAGCATCAACAAGTCACAGCATATGAAAACATCATGCAAGGAAGGGGCTGGTTTCCATCCCAAACAGGCTGCAATGCTGGGCAGTTTCAGCCACCTGGTTCTGGCTTTATCAGTATAAATACAGGAGTAAAGCAGCTGTGGAATCTTCCTCCTTGGCTAAGGAAAGCCCCTGAGGCCAGGCGTGTGGCAGAGGAGTCCTTGCATGGTGGCCCAGAAAGGCCACTTTTTAAAGTCTCGAAAGTGACCCCAAGATGTTAGAGATGCCAGAGCCATGGTATGCCTGCTAAGGAGAAATGCAAACAGGGCATGGAACCAGCCTGAGAAAGAAAGGGAGAGAGAGAGAGAGAGAGAGAGAGAGAGAGAGAGAGGAGAGAGAGAGAGAGAGAGAGGAGTTGGAAATCCTAAACGCCATCTAAGCCCTTTGACAGCAGACATAGAGTCACAGAAGTTGGAGTTAGTCCTCCTGGGTTTCAGTCTTGCTTTTGGTAGTTCCTTGCCAGGTTCCCTTCACTCCCTTTTGGAATGGTAATATATACTCTGTGTCATTGGATGTTGGTGTATGCAATTTGCTTTTGATTTTACAGAGGGTCACAGTCAAGAGATTGCCTCGAGGCTCAGAAGAGACTTTGGACTTTTAAATGGTGTTGAGACTGTGAAAGACTGTGGAGACTTCTGGAGTTACACAAAATGCCTATGATATGGCTACCAGGAGTATTGGGGCCAAAGAATGGAGCGAGGTGGCTTGAGTGAAAAACGGCCCCATAAGCTCTTATGTTTGAATTCTTGGTCCCTAGTTTGTGGAACAGTTCAGGAGGTTGGCCTTGTTGAAGAAGATGTGTCACTTGGGGGTAGGCTTTGAGGTTTGAAAGCCCATGCCAGGAACAGTCTCTTTCTCTCTCTGCCTACTGCTTGTGGATAAGATATGAGCTCTCGGCCACTGCTTCAGCACCATGCCTGCCTACCTCCTGCCATTCTCCCCACCATGATGGTCATGGACTCACCCTCTGAAACTATAAGCAAGCCCACAGTTAAATGCTTACTTTAATAAGTTGCCTTGTTCGCAGTATCTCTTAACAGCAATGGAACAGTAACTACGACAGGGTTGTATGTCTTTAGTTACAAAGTGTCTTGATTGGGGCTTCTGTTGCTGTGAAGAGAAACCATGACCATGGCAAACATATAAAGGAAAACATTTAATGGAGGCTGCTTACAGTTCAGAGGTTTAGTCCCTTGTCATCCTGGTGGGAAGCATGGTGGCACACAGGCAGACATGGTGCTGGAGAGGTAGCTGAGAGTTCTACATCTGGACCTGACAGCAACAGGAAGAGACTGAGACACACTGGGCCTGGCTTGAGCATCTGAGACCTCAAAGCCCACCCCTGGTGACACACTTCCTCCAACAAGACCACATCTACTCCAGTAAGGCCACACCTCCTAATAGTGCCACTCCCTATGGGCCTATGAGGGCCATTTTCTTTCAAAATGAGCACTACACAGAGTTAAGATTCTTGGTTGCAAACAGAGAATGTCAACTCTGGCTAAATAGAGCAGAAAAATAATTTCAGGATCAGGAATCAATAGGAAGTGTAGAAAAGTATACATGAAAAGTGGGCACTGGTAATCATTAATATTCTGATCTGCCCCTTGAAATCCCACCCCTTGGTACTGCCCTGCATCCTGACTTATAAGCCTCATTCTAAGGAAAAACTCCTCCCCTTTCCCCCTCCCCCCCTCCTATCTTTCTCTTCATCTCTCTATTATAATAAACTCTCCACGTGGATGCAGCGTCTGGACTGTGAATTACTGGCCGCCGCTGCATCTGCCCAGCCCACAGCTGCATCTACCCAGCATGTTTCCCTGTACATGCAAGATACCCTTGGGGGTCCCGTTCCTCCCACCCCTGCACAATATAATTCATAGCAGTAATGAGAAAGCAAGACCTCACCACAGAGCCTAAACTCTGATGATCACAATGATGGGCAGTCAAGGCAACATTTGACACCCACAGTGCATGGCTCCCTCAAGAGGGGAAATTTGTGTGTGTGTGTGTGTGTGTGTGTGTGTGTGTGTGTGTGTGTGTGTGTGTAGGCAGGCCTGAGGTTGATAATGGATATCTTCTTTTCTATGGCTCTCCACCTTATTTTTTAGGATAGGAGCTCTCAGTGAACCCAGAACATACTGATTGGTTAGACTGACTCTGGGGATCTGCTTGTCTCCTCCCCTAGCCCTCTAGTCCTAGGGTTGCAGATATCCATCACTGTGCCCAGCTTTTTACGTGACTGCTGAAGACCAAACTCAGGGTCCTTATGGCTGCACTGTAATAACTTTACCAACAAAGCCAACTCCTCTTCCTAAAGGTGGTGCAATTTATACTTTCAGCAATTGCAAATGAAAACCCCTTATTCTCACCTTCATAAGTAAAATCCATATATTTAGCCTTTGCCAATTTGAGAAATAAAAAGTGATGCCGCTTTTAATAGCACTTTTAGGTTTTTAGCAAATAGCCATTATTATTATTATTATTATTATTATTATTATTATTATTATTATGTCATTATCTATTTCAGGAGTTAAGCCTTTTATAGAGAGCCAGAAAATAAATATTTTAGACTCTTTGAACCATACGGTCCCTGTTGCTGCTACTCATCTTTGCTAGTATAGTGTGAAAGTAGTCATAGACAACTACAAAGGGCATGGCTGAGTTCCAATAAAACTTTACTTCCAAAACACACAGTGGGACAAATCTGGCCTGCAGATTCCTGACCAATTTGTTGTTGCTGCTGTTTTTAGCTTCTAAGAGCTCTGGACATAACGGAAAGTCAGTTAACTGTGACCAAACTCTCAATAGCTACAGCCTGATGTTTTCACATCCAACACAATGACATTTGGTCTGTTAACATGATAAATCACATCAAAGTATAATACCTAGAACTGTAGAGTACAGTTACATATGTGCATCATTGCATTCAAATTCAAGTTAATACTATGACAGTTATGATGAGCGCTACCGTCACTTTGCTTTGCTTTCGACTTCTTGTTTTTTTGGGGGACACAGTCTCATTTTGTAGCTCTGGCTGTCCTAGAACTCACTCTGTCGACCAGGCTGGTTTCAAACTCACAGAGATCCACTTACCTCTGCCTCTCAAGTGCTGGGTTTAAAGGTGTGCACCACCGTGCCCAGCTTGCTTTCCACGTCTTCTCTTTTCTCTCTCTCTCTCTCTCTCTCTCTCTCTCTCTCTCTCTCTCTCTCTCTCTCTCTCTCTCTCTCTCTCTCTCTCTCTCTCTCTCTCTCTCTCTCTCTCTCTCTCTCTCTCTCTCTCTCTCTCTCTCTCCTCCCTCCCTCCCTCCCTCCCTCCCTCCCCCCTCCCTCCCTCTCCCTCCCTCCCCTTATTCATACATCCTACTGAGTGAGGCACATTTGGTTCTGGATGTAGCGCTTTATCTGAGCTGTTATACCCATTCCAGTTTCTGAGGCTCAGAAATGAGGCCAAGATCCTCCATCACCCTGGGGTTGGCAGTGCCTGGCTGGGCTCTTGCCACTGTCCCCACTGCCTCTCAGGTGCGACCAAGTCAGCGTCTCACTGTTTCTGAGGTATCAAGGATGCTCCAGGTCTCACCATTGAAGCCGATCACAGCCTCAAGCTCCAATTCGGCCACGTCGGTCTCGGGTAAAATTTCTTCTTCCATCGTGGAGAATTTCACTTCATTGATTTCTCGACGCCAGGGTGCAGCGTCTCCTGGTCGTTATGGTAACTGGCGCACGCATGCGTGCTAGGTTTACGCTGGAGCAGAAACTCAGCCCTCTGAGTTCGAGTTGTTTCACACTTTTGTAAATGTAGGGAGGGCTTCCTTATTATTTTTTTTTCATTCATTCTAGAAAATTAGGTGGTAGACGAACACTAAATATGCAGGATGAATTCCCTCGTCTCCCGTGTAAAGTCTGTGACTTCTGCTTTACTATAAAATTAAGCCCCTTATGATAATTATTAAAAATAATTGAACACAGAGTTGCCTCTGATGGGTAGGCTGCTATAAACAAAACAAAACAAAACATTGAATTGATACCTTCTTGTAAAAGAATTTTTTAAAAAACCACTTTAAAAGTTTTAGTACAGTATGCAACTATTTTTATGTATGTATGTGCGTTGCTTGTATGTATATTTCCTGCTTCAACCTTCCAAGTGCTGGGCTTTCGGGCGCGAGCTATCACACACCGCTCGTTTTGTTGTTTTTGAATGGGGGGGGGGATGCGAAGACCTATGAGAGCCGGGGTCTTGAAGCACTTCCATCCCTGGGAAAATGTTTTGATTCTGCTCAACAATTTAACCATTTTCCTTGCGTCCGGCAGTTCGTGTGAATTAACGAAAAATCGATTGTTGCAATCCACTGTCCCCCCAGGGGTGCGCTTTGGTCAGTGGGGGGCGTGGGTTCTAAGGTTCCTAAAACACGTTTCATTTTGCAAATTCTGGGCTCGGGTCGCGCACCTTCCGAACTGCGGGGAATGAGCCGCGCGGGCCGCCGTAGTCAGCTGCTGCGAGCAGGAAGTGTCCCAGCTGCGGGCGGAGATTGCACCATGGCCCCGGACCCCTGGTGAGTTGCTGGAGATGGCAGTAGTGTGCGGTGGGTCTTGGGGGTGGAAGTGGCTCCCAGGGACTCGCACAGACCCTGGCCATAGTTGAACTTGAGGCTGGCGGCTTTTAGGGGTGAGCAAAGCGGGTGAAGACCCTCCTCCTGCTTTGGGGACTCAGCCACATCCCGCCTTCCGGGTGCTAACTCGGTGGTCAGAGGTGGATACCGTGACTTGAGGGGGGTGCTGGGACTGAGCAGAATGCAGTATTTCCCCCTCCTTCTGTAGGGGCTTCTCGCCTGTCCTGCTTGTGGATAACTGCGTGTGCAGACTCCCCTGGGGTCCTGTAAAAGTGAAGCAGAAACAACCTTCTTTTGGTAGGATGTCCCTTCCTTCACCCATTAATCCCTAGCAAGGGAAGAAACTCAGGTTCAGACTCCGTGGTCACCAGCTAGTTAGTAGTTAGCTGGGCATAGGTGTTATGGGCTTTTCACAAAAAGACTTGTAATCTGTGAGGGAAATCTGCACTTGGGATAGGCATTTTTACCCTTTCCTGCGTCAGTATCATGAAGACGTTTGTCAGCAAGAGCTAGTGCAGAAGTCAGCACCCGATAAGGCCATTTATTCAGCAATGAAGCCCCAAGGACAGAGTGATGAACAGTATCTTTATACAGGGAACACATTGCTGTACGGTCTTGATTTTCCCATTTAATAATTTATAACATTGTATTTCTGTGAAGTTCTTGTTGGAGGATATGCCTTATGTTGGTGTTTCTGGTGCAGTTTATAAATGTTTGGTGGCAGATGATTTTGACTATTGGGAGAGTGGGTATCAAGGTCAAAGTTAGAGTTACCTGGGATCTATGCTATTTGGCCTAGTTGCTGAAATTTTCGTGGGTTTTTTTTTCTTTCTTTTTTTTTTTTGTCTGTTTGGTTTCCAGTGTCTCAGGGAGTCCAGGCTGACCTTAAATTCCTGATCCTCTCGCTTCAATCTCCTAAGTGGTGTGCTCACAGACCTCTGCCAACATGCCCAGCCCATTGCTGAATTTAACACTTTTTTTCCCCCCATCAAGTTTCAACTATTGTCTACACCCCTGGTAGAAAATTTAGAGACTACTGAGTATCTGCAGGAAAGAAAATAAATAGCATCTTCATCACTTATCAATGTTAACTTTTTTTTCAATGCATTTATGGTCTGAATCTGTATCTTGCTTGTATTTTACACAACAGGAAGCATTTCTCCCTATCACTAAATATTCTTAAAAACATGATTTTTGCATGCATGCCAGTACATCACCTGAATGTTCATAACTTATTTCACTTTTAGCTCAGTGGTAGGGCTTACCACATGCAAAGCCTTGAGTTTGGGTCCTTAACAGGACAAGAAAGCTTTCCACTGTCAAATGAGAAAGCCACTGAGTCAAACAATTGAGACCAACAGTAAAAGAGTTCAAACGCTTCAGTGTCTTGGGGTAAAATTCTCCTGGAAGTCTCATCTCATTAGACTACTGGGCTGGGCTGTGCAGAAACTAACCTCTGCTAATCTGTCCTCTTTAAATGGACCCTCCCACCAGAGCTACGTCTTGGCCAGACATGCTTTCTTCGTTTAATCTTTGCATGCGCCGGGTGCCTTCCATGGTGTTTGGATTTCACTCCTCCTCCCCATACCAGAAATCTGCTTTAGTCTGGAAGTCAGCCCAAGATGTCCTCTTGCGGCCCAGCCCATCTGAGCGCCTCTGACATCAGTAATGTCTCCCACCCACCTCCTAACTCTAGAGGTACTTAATTTAGGTCTCCTATTTGACAGGATTTTGTTATGGATTTTATATGTTTGATCTGCCTTTGCATAGCCAGACTGAAGCTCCTGTCTTCATAGATGATCGTGTAGAGGCAAACAAGTAACATGTAGGGAATCCAGGGCTAGGACTATTTTCCTTATTATCCCACTGGTTTAAAATTTTATACATATATATTATATATAATTAATATGATATATATTAACCATCTGCTCTTTTTCATATATATACCTATTTCTGAATATACCGAATGATGCATATATATTATATATAATTAATATGATATATATTAACCATCTGCTCTTTTTCATATACACATCTATTCCTGAATATACTGAATGATGCATATTGATGTATACTTTGAGTCTAGGGTTAGGGGCTGACGCTGCCTCTGAAGGGCTTGTGAAGCTCACAGCATAAAGTCTCTGTGTAGGACCTGGAGCTACATCCCGAGCCCAAGCTAGACAACCCCCCACCCCAATGCTGGTGATGGAGCCCTTGCCCAAGCTAGACCCTGCCGCTGGTGATTGAGCCTAATGCCTTGCCCAACCTAGACCCTGCCGCTGGTGATTGAGCCTAGTGCCTTGCCCAAGCTAGACCCTGATGCTGGTGATTGAGCCTAGTGCCTTGCCCAAGCTAGACCCTGATACTGGTGATTGAGCCTAGTGCCTTGCCCAAGCTAGACCCTGATGCTGGTGATTGAGCCTAGTGCCTTGCCCAAGCTAGACCCTGATGCTGGTGATTGAGCCTAGTGCCTTGCCTAAGCTAGACCCTGATGTTGGTGATTGAGCCTAGTGCCTTGCCCAAGCTAGACCCTGATGCTGGTGATTGAGCCTAGTGCCTTGCCCAAGCTAGACCCTGATGCTGGTGATTGAGCCTAGTGCCTTGCCCAAGCTAGACAAGTGCTTCCCACTGAACTGTGCCTTTAAGTTTGAAACAGGTCACTAAATTACCCAAGTTGCCTCAAGTAGACCGACCTTGAAGTTAAGACTCTCATGTCTTAGCCTCAAGTAGCTGGGTTAATAGGCATGTCCACTACTGGAATATTTTAAGGAATAAATTACTTATTTTCTTATGGGTAAAACTGGGACATTAGGGCAAACAGCAGTTTTCAATATTTTGCAATGGACGGATCTGGAAAATACATTGTTTATGTGAGCACAAGAGTCCCTGCTTCTTAGGAGCAGACTGGTATACGAGATGAAATGTGCACACCAGTGTTTTGTGAAAAACAGGAAGTGAAAGTGCCGTAATAAGAAAACCTCTGGGTACTATTGGGTGTTCGTTTATTTCTGTTTTAAGTGTATGGGTGTTTTGCCTGCACATATACCTCTTTGTGCATCATGTTGGCCTGATACCCACAGAGGCCAGAAGAGGGCGTGATACAGCAGTGGACTGCCGTGTGGGTGCTGGGATCGAACCCAGGTCCTCTGGAAGGGCAGCAGTGCTCTAAATCACTGAGCCATCTCTCCAGCCCCTCTTTTAGGCCCTCATTTGAATCTTTCAAAGCTCCTAACACTGTTGAGTGGGAAGTGGACGGACAGTCAGTGTTCTGAGAGAACTGTGGCAGGGTGAGAGTCAGCCCCGTGTCAGCTAGAGCACTTTGCTGCAGACGCACATTTCCTGTTGTCCCTGCTGCCTGAATTTGCATATCAGTTCTTGCCCTGCCTCAGTGTCTCCTGCTCTGAAATAGCACCTCCTTGTCACTGTGTTCCTTCATCTCCCATGTTTCTTCTCAGCACAAGTCAAACCCACATCTGCCACACCATATATTTGTTGTATGCCATTCTCCTTTCACTAGAATGCAGGCTGAAAAACAGCAACTCTGTCCGTTTTGTTGATTGCTCTTTTGAATTGACAGCACCTGGAACAAGGTTGGGTTTAGCACAGGCCCTTCAGCAATGTTTGCTGGCTGTCTTACAGAGTAATGATTGCAGAGCCCAGCGTACTGTTGCAGGCCTGTAATCCTAGCTTTCAGGAAGTGAAAGCAGGAGAATTATGAGTTCAAGGCCAGCCTGGATTACATAGGGAGAGCCTGTTAAAACAAAAACAGAAAAACCCAAATAACATCAAACCAAAGGTACAAATGTAAATGTTTTATTTATGTGTGTAATAGTAAAGTCATTAAGAGCCCAGATTCTGGGACCAGACACATCTGGTTGCTGCTGTCCTTGGTTCCCTCTGAGTAAGTCAGCTCTGCCTCTTTGTACCTGGTTTCCTCCTGTCTAAGCCTGTCATGTTCCCTGCCCCACACAAGTTCTTGTGTGGATTAACCAAGTTGTCATCAGTGAAGTATTCTTTTTTTTTTTGGTTTTTCGAGACAGGGTTTCTCTGTGTAGCTTTGCGCCTGTCCTGGAACTCA